CCCAACCAGCTGAGCCACACTGGCCAGGCCCTGTAATGTATCAAAGATTACAAAGACCTTTCACTTTTATTCTTGTTTTGTTTCCTGATAATTCTGTGAGATGGCAATTATTCTTCTCCCTTTACAGATGAGGAAACTGATGGTTTCCTATTGTCCGTTAGGCAATGTTTAGATTCTTTCACATGTCTGACCCTCGCCTGTTCCCCAGATTCCTCTTTTACACTTTCCCCAGACTGGTCTATATCCCAGCTATTCTGGATTTCTTTTGGTTCCTTAAATAGGTCAAATTCTTTCCGGCCACAGGCCATTGCACATGCCGTTTCTTCTGCCTAGACCACCTTCCCATCTCCTCTTTGGCTAGCAACCATTAATCTTCCAGGTCTTCACTTACCATTTCTTCCTGGGAGCCTCTCCTGCACATTCAGGCTACCTTGGGCTCCCTGCTAATATCCTCTTGGACCACCCTGCTGGTCCCATTGCAGACTCATCCCACTGAAAACTTCTTACTCAGTATTTCTTGTTCCTGCTAGATTGTCAGCTTCACCATCAGAGACCAAATCTGTCTTATTTAAAAACAAAACAAAACAACCCCACAATTTTGTTGTTTTCCGAGAAGAAGGGAGAGGGAGAGAGAGAGAGAAACATCAACAATGAGAGAATCACTGATCTGCTGCCTCCTGCATGCCCCACATTGGGGATCAAGACCACAACGCAGGCATGTGCCCTGACCGGGAATTGAACCGTGACCTTCTTGTTCACAGGTCAACGCTCAACCACTGAGCCATACCGGTTGGGCCAAATCCACCTTATTTGATAGTTTCAGTGCCCAGTCCTGTTGCTCTGAAAGCTTTGGTTTGCTCTCTGGATTCCATAACCATGGTCTTGCCCTCAAGATAATGCTGAGGAGCTCTTCAGACAGGCTTCTCCTGATGAGCAGTAAGCAAGTCCTTCCATTAGCGACCAAAATGCACGCCTCCCACAGCGGACTGTGGGGTTCGAGCAGCTGTGTTTCATTTGGTAACGACCAGGAAAGGCTGGTGCGCTCACCTCTCCTGGAGTCTCTGTGAGGCTCATTGCAGTGAGAACCTTTGTCCAGCATCCTAGATGGGTCAAGTCACAGATGACAGGAACGTTTAAAGCTGTCCATACTATTCCTACCTCAGGTCCTTTCTGGGTTTGGTGCACAATTGGTTTGAGTCCTTTACAGATGGCTGGCACATTGATTTTTTTTTTTTAATTTTTTTTTTAAGCATTGAGGTTCAGTCACCAAATTAATGGTGCAAGCACAGGAGTGGAAGTAACACAGCTGCTCAGGCTCGCACGGCAGGCGTTCAGCAGGTAGGTAGGGCCCAGGGGGAGGAATTGGTGACCTCATTTCAGCAAGCGCAGCGAGCTGAAGTCCCTGCAGGTTGCAATCTGTGAAAAGGGGCACTTTTTCTCCCCCCCAAGCCAGTTACATCTCTTCTCTCCAACGTCTTTGTGAAAATCCATCACCATAGACCTCCCTAAACCCAGTTACTGATAACAACCAAAATCTGTAGCTAAACACTCAGGCAACACCGTATATGGCTGTAAATGATCCAAATAGAGTCTCAGTTCACATCTCCGTGAGGAAGAACATTGAGTGAATTCATTACATGAGCCACTGCAACGGAACCAGGAGCTTAAGGCCACATTCCTCGAATGTGCACTCCCCAGTTTCCCATCAGGCAGCGGGACCAGTCAGGCCGGACCACTTCCCCCCGCCAGTGAATCTAAACAAGACACGCGTCCCAAGGAACACATTTGCCAACTGTTACGTTGCTCTCCAGTCATCCTTGGGGATTAGCTTCACGACAGAGCCCGCACCCTTAGCTCCATGCGGCAAAGCGAAGTGTGCTGTGCTGGTTACAAAGGGGAATAAGCAGAGGCCACAGCCTAGCTTCGTTATTAAAACAATTGAATGCGTAAACTGAGTGTGAAAACGTAACTGGGAGAATATGCTCCAAACTTACCGGTTAACCATGCCTGTCTTTGGAAGGTGGCTTTATAAGGATAGTTACTTTCTATGTTTGTGTTTTTCCTTCAAAATTTGGAAAATGAATGTGGATTACACTTGTGAACAGAAATAAAATTTGAAGTAGATCAGAGTTAGTGACAGTGTTCATGTAGACTGTCACTCCAATAAAAATTTAAAAATCTATAATAAAAGCATTATATGCTAATTAGACTGGACATCCTTCCAGACGAAGCCGGGGCTGTGAGGGAAACCCAGGTCCCAGAGGGAAGCTGGTGCTGGCCGCTGGGGAAAGGAAGGCCTACTCTTGCACGAATTTCATGCATCAGGCCTCTAGTAAATAAATAAAATTCTCTACAGGGAGGATCACCACATTCGTCTTTCCAATGTTCCGATTTCCACTAAAGTGTAAACCAAGAAATATTAGGGGAAAGGAAAATCATTAAATATCTTAAAGCTAATGCCTGGGTAAAGTCTGACTATATGATCTTCTAATTGTGGAAGCATGGCAATTAGCGGGAAGAACACAGGTTTTGGACACTGTCAAGCATAGGTTAACCATTGGTTCTGAATGTTATGTGCAATGTAACTTTTACCTAAATTTTCTAAGCCTGCTTTTTTATCTGTGAATTGAGTATATTGCCTATGATAGGGAACTATTTATAAGACCAATAATAAATTAAAACACCTGACACAAAAAAGGTTCGATCAAGACCTTTAAAAATCAGTCAAAATAATAATAGAAAACAGAGAACACACTCAAACTGGGTAACCTGAGGAGGGTTTAATAAAGGGCTCTTTCAAAGACACGGGCAGAGTTCAGGGAAACCAACAAGGATGATGGAATAATCCAGAGTTAGTTAAGGAGTTGTCCTTTATATCCCTAGGTTTGCAGGGGCAGAGAGAAGGAGGTAGAAGCTAGAGAGGGCTGTATAATAGGAGTCACAGTCTTTGGTACAGGGACAACCATGTGACCTGGCAATGAGGAAGCCAGAACAAATTTCCTGACGGTCCTTTTCTCAGGCCTTTTGATCACCTGAGGGCGCTACTAATTGCATCAACACAACCTGAAGTGAGAGGGCCAGGGGGCTTGTTAATGCCATACACCTGGGTCAGCACTCCTGGGCGCAGGCAGGGCAGGGTGCAGCCGTTCTGAGGGGCAAATGGAAAGTGTCCAGCACAACCTCTCCCCAAACACAATTCACACCACCGGAGCTGTTACACACAACGCTTACATGTCTGTTGAGACAAAAACATTTTCTTTCCAGAATTTTCTAGTCTTATTTTTTTAGGGGAAAAAGAGGAGGGGAAAGAAAGAGAAGGGAGAGTGAGGAGAGAAGGCAGTGGGGAGGAGAGACACTTTCCAGAATTTCTGATGTAAAATTGAGTTCTTTTATTAAAGCAGAATTCTTCTCAGTCTTTTGTGAACCTGTTTTGCAGCTTCCCTAATTTAGAAGGAATCTTAGGATTTTTCTGTTTAGGTACTATTCAATAGGTATTCAGGTACAAGATTTTCTTAGACTCAAAAAATCAAATGGTAGTGAAACTTACAGTCCTACTGAATGATAGGAAAGTTTTTGGTTTCTTATCAAATAGATAAAATAAATAAATCAGGACATCTATTTCACATTGACATTTTTATTAACGCCAACTGTTTTTTAATTATTATTTTTTTAAAACAATAGCACAAAAATGTTTCAAGGAAGCAGTCTCACAATCTGATGACCTTCTGAAATACATTAAGCCACACCAAATATGAATTTCTGTTAATAACACAAAAATATTTTTAAAGAAAAATCAAAGGAAAAGAGGGGGGAAAAGAAAAGAAAATTGTAGGGACAGAGACAGGAATGAGATGTAGAGTTAAAACGCACGAGTTTAGACAGGTGAGGCTTGTAAGTAGGATACACTGTTGAAGGAGTGGCACACCACAGGCATATAGGCTTGTTACTGCTTTTAACCAGTTACCACTAATAAATAGGCCCTGCAGCAGTTCCCACTGCTCCTTCCGTGCCCCCGTGAACCCGAGAAGCCAGTGCTGATACTGTCAGTAAGAGGTTTGGTAGCTGGCCTCCGGGACAACTAAGACCACTTTTCGCAGGATAACTCCTTCAGAAAGGCCTGGCTGAAAACCTTTTCGTTTCTATTGTCTCACTTATATGCCTTTCAGGGTTCTTAAAAGTAATCTTAAAAAAGAAAGAAAAAGCAATGTATATCAGTTTCTCTTATTTAATGTGGCTATAAAAGATGTTTCCTTATTATTTCGTTACCTCTAAGAAGGACACCAGGGTGGGGGCTGGGGGTGGAACTAAGGGGAGGAAAAACCCAGACCAGGATAAGTGTGTTTTTTAACCTTTTTCTTCTGCCAAGGGGTCACACAGAAGGGAAGGCAAGGAGGAAAACTACAATCCTTGTTTGGATTGAGTTATGCAGGAAAATGTGTCTCCTGATCAGTCCCCATGCCAAAACAAAAACCAAAAAAAAACCCAAAACCCACTTGGAATTATGCACAGACTCTATATTATACGAGCTATCAGTCTTTCATGTTTGACCATTCCCCGCAATGGACACTACCCTTGGCTTGGAGGCTGCTTGCAGAACCCACTTCACAAATATCCTCTTCACCCAGAAGCCTCTGGTTTCCTTTGGGTAGGTTATAAAAACAGAACATCTGTCATTAACAGGAGAGTGTTAAATACTTTTTACCACTGACAAGGCTTCAGGAAGTTTCACAGTTTCATTATGCTCTATTTATTACTATCATATTTACAGTTTTATTTTTTATTCTTTTTTTTTTCTGTTTTTGCTGAATTGCTGATTTTCCTTTTTCAATAGAACTTAATTCTGGAGTGTGAGCAGGAACCAGTTAACTACATTCATTGTCCAACCCCCACTGGTTTGAAAGAAGACTCCAAATTCTTGGTAAATGAATCAGCTGTTGGGCGGCTCCACCTTCCCCGGGCGGCCGGGCCGGCAGCAGAACCGCAGGGCAGCGCTCACTCGGTCACACTGCGGGCGGGGAGGCCTTCCGCTGGAGGAGGTGCTGGTGGATGCTCTCCGCGTCCCGCTTGAGCCACGCGGCGTTCAGCAGGATATTCTCACAACACTGCTGGATGGTTCGCTCAGCTGAAGGAGCGGGGTGACTCTCGAAGAAAGCCTGGTGTGAAACAGGAATAGTAAGAGGTCAGTACCAGGTCCTGAAAAAACACCTGCTCGTCTGTAAAGGAATCAGAACCTTCACTCATGATGATTTACCACTGCCATCCTCAGACTAAAAGAAAACAAGCAGCCTCTTGGACCTGCCTACAGGAATTCTCCCCTAACCTGAGTATTATATGTTTAAAACCTAATAAAAAGTTAATAGTAAAGAGACAGAACCTACAACCTTTCTTTTTAAGAAAAATATATTTTTTATTGATATCAGAGAGGAAGGAAGAGGGAGAGAGAGATAGAAACATCAATGATGAGAGAATCATCGATCGGTTGCCTCCTGCAGGATCCAGCCAGCAACCAGGCATGTGCCCTAGACTGGAATCAAACCTGGGATTCTTCAGTCCACAAGTGGATAATCTAGCCACTGAGCCAAACCAACTAGGGCCAACCTTTTTGTTAAAAGCATTTTTATTGATTTCAGAGAGGAAGGGAAGAGAGACAGAAACATCAGTGAGAGAAAACCACTGATCAGCTGCCTCCTGCACACCCCTCATGTGCCCAGACTGGGAAGTGAACCATGACCTCCTGATTCACAGGTCGATGTTCAACCACTGAGCCATGCTGACCGGGCCTTACAACCTTTCTTTAGATTTAGACTCACTGTCCAGCGGTTAGGCTAGGCTTTGGAATCAGGCTTGAAACTTGATTCTAGACTTGATTATGTACTAATCTATGACAGTAACTGTTCTAAGTCTGCCTTCTCATCTATGAGAAAATATTTACTTCAGAAGATTAAAGAGACAACACATATAAACAGTTGTCAGAGTACTGAAGGACTCAACACATTTTGGCTGTTTCAGAAAAAGATTTATAAGGGATGATAAAACCAAGAAACTTACATTGCTGCTACACCCTAATAATTTAATACTCCAATGACTCACATTTTTTACACAATAAAGCTATTTCTAATTTTTTATAATGCTTATTGATTTAAGATTAATTTTCTAATGAAGTCTACCTGGTTTCACAGAAAACAAAACAACTCTTAAATACCAACCAGCAAAAAGATAGGGTAGTCCCATTGAACTAATAATCACTAAGAGAATGATTAATTCATCAGATTAAGTCTAGAACTTCTAGAAATCAATAACCTTATTTACATAGATGACAGTACTCCCTCCCCCAAGTGTCCTTATCATGGTTGGATTCTTTTATTATTTTTTTTAATATATTTTATTGATTTTTTACAGAGAGGAAGAGAGAGGGATAAAGAGTTAGAAACATCGATGAGAGGAGAGATTCATCGATCAGCTGCCTCTTGCACACCCCCCACCGGGAATGTGCCCACAACCAAGGTACATGCCCTTGACCGGAATCAAACCTGGGACCTTTCAGTCTGCAGGCCGACGCTCTATCCAGTAAGCCAAACCAGTTTCGGCGCATGGTTGGATTCTTAGGGCCTGAGTAAGATGCTAGTCTTCCGCTTATTACAGAACCACCATTTACACAAGAGAAACCTGGGAATTATCCTCAACTCTCCCTGCCCCCAATATGTTCACAACACAGAGAAGCCATTCAGTAAATATTTGTTGAATTAAAGATTAATAAAATCAGGCCTCTGGATTTCTCTCATTACTTCACCTCCTCCAAGCTACTGTAACATTCTTGCTTGGAGAGTTAGCTTCCCACCATCTTCTCTTCTCCCTTTCAAACTATTCTCTACACTGCAGACAGGCTCAAATTTTAAAAACACAAACCAGATCAAAACCTCCTTTTTTCTAAACTGACAAATATGTATGTGTGTGTGTGTGTGTGTGTGTGTGTGTTTTGGGGGGGGGGGGACTGAGCCTGCAACACGGGTATATGCCCTGACAAGGAATAAAACCTGTGACCTCTTGGTTCCTGGGTTGACACTCAACCACTGAGCCACACCCAGCTGGGCAAGTCACTCCTTTTATTTCAAAGGCTTTTTTTCCAAAGCCATTCAAGGACTTTCCATTAATTTTTTTATTTTATATTTTACTGATTTTTTACAGAGAGGAAGAGAGAGGGATAGAGAGTTAGAAACATCAATGAGAGAGAATTATCGATCAGCTGCCTCTTGCACATTCCCGCAACCAAGGTACATGCCTTTGTCCGGAATCAAACCTGGGACCTTTCAGTCCGCAGGCCGATTATTGGTTTTGGCTTCATTAATTTTTTAAATATGTTTTTATTGACTTTAGAGAGAAAGGGAGAGGGAGAGAGAGATACAAATATCAATGAGAGAGAAACATCAACATTGATTGGCTGCCTCCTGCATGCCCAGTACTGGGTGGGATCAAGTCTGCAACCTGGGCATGTACCCTGTCCGTGAATTGAACCAGCAACCTCTTGGTGCATGGGTTAATGATCAACCACTGAGCCACACCCTGGGCAATTCTCAGGAAAATTATAATATGGCCTACAAAGTCTTCCATGGTCTGGCATCTACCTACCTTACAGCCTTAAATTGGCCACTGCCTTCCCCTCCAAACATTATGTGTATTTCTCCTTCAAAATACTTATCTGAACTGTTTACATAATACAATGCACAATATTAAATGAAGGCAGAGATCAAGTCTTTCACTGTTTTCTCAAGAACTTAAATCTTAATTTTTAATAATGGCTCACAGAGTGAACCAAACATCATCTTCCAAATCCATACCAGATAACCCCCTTGCCTTCAAATGCTGAAGGTGAAAGCGACACTTAAAATACTTCACAATTAAAAGCAATGGAAGGCTTAAAGGTAACATTTTCCTAATCGGTGTAGATTTCTCCCCTAAATACCAAACTTTATCACTATACTAATTATCAACATTTTAAAAGCTAAGAGAGGAGTTCCTACATAGTCACTTACATAGGTTATTAGAAAGGGAAAAAGCTGCCTTAGCCAGTTTGGCTCAGTGGATAGAGTGTTGACCTGCAAACTGAAGGGTCCCAAGTTCGATTCCAGTCAATGGCACATCCCCCAATTGTGAGCTCAATCCCCAGAAGGGGGTGTGCAGGAGGTAAGAGAGATCAATGATTCTCCTCTGAGCATTGATGTTTCTATCTCTCTCTTCCTTTCTGAAATCAATAAAAAAAAAACAAAATTTAAGGGAAAAAGCTAACATGACTGACCTACTCTGTTCCAGCCCCACTATGATACTTCATCTAAACAATAAACTTATCACTCCATTTTACAGATTAAGAGACAGGATCATAGGGGTTAAAAAAGTTGCTTGAAGTCGAATAGCTAACAGAGCAGAGCAAAGTTTTATACCCAGGTTAACTGCCTCCACGTTCCATATTCTTTCAACCATATTTCAACTCCCTCAAAGTTGATTCCAACCCTAAATTCTTCAGGCATTAAAGAATCAACCTAAGCTATTTTTCTCTAAGCAATAAAAGGAGAACTAACATATATTACCCCTACATGCTATGATTATAGTTTGGTTAGTATTTTTATTTACAAGGTTGAAAAGTGAAAAGTTAACGGTATTTTCCTTACCTTAACTTCTCCAGCCATTTTATCAACTGCAAATCCCTCAACTGATAGCTGAAAAACACACACACAATGGTTTAAATAGTAAGAGGCTTGGAACCAACTTCATTCACCCTAAAAACAAACCGTCTGTTCTTTCCCTACTTCAGTTTATTCCAGAGGGTGCAGGATGGGTGACGGAGATGCCCTTTTATAAGACTAATAACTAAGGAAACTCTTAAAGAGCAAAGACCATAATCTATGGGACTTGTGAATCGTGGATGTCTCTCAATAACATCCATGATAAGCAAGCTACTCAAAATAAATTCTTCACATACCTTTATTAGTCTGGATATTAAGAATCCTCCCTGGTATCGATTATATAGTTCTTCCCAGTTGTCCTTTATAAATTTCCAAGCAGCTTTTCTTCCATGTTTGCTGCCTCCAGCCACTCCACCAATTACTGATACAGTATCCTGTGGACGTACCTCTTCCTAAAAATAGAAAGAGAACTAAAAGTCTACTGTACCCTAAGCATCTAGTACCAGAAAGAACAAATGTTGAGGAACCCAAGTAATTGCATGAAGATAATGTTCCTTGTTTTAGCAATAACTGGCACCTGAAGCTTCCAACAAAGAGGGCATTTAACCTAAAGATCAGCCAATCCAATAATAAGGCATGGAATCAGGTACAAACTGTTGCTCAAGAAATACTTGGTAGGGCTTCTACAGTCACTATAAATAAGTGCTCACTATATGAATAACTTTTCAGTTCTGAGCAGTTTACATCAACATCTAAGGTAGAAAAGGGAAGAGAGAAAGGGAGCTTTCCAGTATATTTCCTCTCCCAACTATTATTTTGATTCTCACCACTAGAGGGAGATATAGAGGTCAGTAACAAAGTCATTCCAGTTTTCCTACACTATGCCTTACATGGACGGACCCACGGTCTGGATCAAAGACACTTGCTACAGATCAGTAGGTAACAATTCCCTCGAAAAGCAGTTTTCATTGTAACTTACTGAAAGTGCAAACGTGAGGACTTTTTGAATCAATTCAGGTGAAAGAGTAGCCCCAAGGACTCTTTCAATTCGGTTTTTCTCTTCCTGCATATCTGCTTGCTTGTGAAGCTATAATGAAAAAATAAAGACAGAGATGGTTAAATCTACCCTGGGAGTTATGCATATGCTTATATGAGCTTCTTCCCCAGTATGGCGCAACCTTTGCTCTAGATTCTCACTGGCTAAGACTGTAGGGCATAAAATTAACAAAAGAATACTTTTTAAGATGTTTGGCACTAAATTTCTCATACCTTTTTTGTAAGTCACTATAAATAAGTGCTCACTATATGAATAACTTTTCAGTTCTGAGCAGTTTACATCAACATCTAAGGTTTAAACCCTTCATGGTCAAATTCTTTACACCATAGATGTCTGACTAATGTTCTATGTTATATGAACAAACTAGTCACTACTAATACCACTGATGATCATCAATTTAATTTAGAACAGTAAAAAAATATATAAGATGCATTATTTAAAATAACATTTTAAGAATGTTTGATGATGTACACATGTTCTTGATACATTAAATGGAAAATGGAGAGATAAAGCAAAATTATTCTTAATTTTAAGAAGTTTAATGTGAAGGGGAAAAAACCCTGAAAACTAATCAAAATGTTAACATTAAGTAATAACGGTTTCTGATCGGTGAGATTCTGCATCATTACATTTTTTTAAACTGCAAGAAGAAGCACATATTGAATGCAGAATATTAAGAAAATAGATAAGTATAAAGAAAAAATCAAAATACTACTATACATACATTACCAAATCAGGAATAAGATCATATTATACGTGCTATTTTGGTGATCCTGATATTTTAAATTTACAGTAACTTTTATTTTTAATTTTTCTAGTGTCTATTCATACTTAATATACAAAATCTTCTTTCATAATCAGAAACATTATTATATATTTTTAAAAATTAGGACTACAAAGGTATATGAGATACTTCTTGAAGACAACTTAATTTATAGACTCTCTTGACCGTTTTTCCCCCTAAAGGTTTAACACTGACCAGTGTCTGGAGACCCCATCACAGCTCCCAGTTTCCTCTTCCTTTCCTTTGGACTCTTTTGAGCAGCAGTGTGGTAAAATAGATAGGAAGTCAGGTGATCTGGGTTCTAGTCCCAGTTTGCCTCTAACTAGCTGTGTGATCTTGACTAAGTCCTTAACCTCTCCGGGTCTCAGTTTCCCCATCTGTAAAATGAGCGGGGTGGACAGATGATTTCTAAGGTCCTTTTCAGCTCTAGTACTCAACGTCTGAACTTGGGCTTTTCGGAAGCATTTCCCCCCCCAGGAAAAATCTGTTACACTAGTCCACTAGATGGCACCATTACACCCTATTTCAAATATACTTTGAATTAAAGTTAATTTTATTTTGCCTCATTATCCTTAAATTACCAACAAAAAATCCTCCTCATCTCTAATCAACTGTTTGTGTTATTTTTAAAAGAACTTTGACTCTGAGCCCCAGCTGAGTAGCTCGGTTGGTTAGAGCATCCCAATAAGCCAAGTTCGCGGGTTCAATCCCCAGTCAGCGCACTAACACAAAATAACCAATGAATATAAATAAGTATAACAACAAATCAATGTGTTTTTTCCTCTCTCCCTTTCTCTCTCTAAAATCAACAAATCAAAAAAAACACAACTGATTCTGTCTTCATATGAGAGCTATTTCATAGTAAAACTGAATTATTGAGTTCCCCTGTATTAAACAGATACAAATTCTTATACATACCAGTATAAATTCTTAAAACTATGCCATGACATGAAAATGTCAAGATATCTGTTATGAAATTTTTTGGAACCCTATTTTGTCTCCTACCCTATATGGAATAGATAAAAACCCATAAATACCTCATTTTATATGCAAAGAAATATATGATTTATAGTATACAGATTCACAGATTATTAAGAATGCGAAGGTACTTTAATGTCATTTAGTTGAAAGGTAAACCTAAAGTATAATTGTCTATTATTAGGAAGAAGAAAACCCTTGCACAAGATGGGTAGTTAAAGGAGTACATTTTGAGATGGAGTTTCTTAAATCAAGTTTGTATTTTTCAGAACATTCTAATCATGTAAATAGGATTTGCTTAAAACTAAAATACTGGAAATTAGATTTGCAATTCTGATCCATTGGGATCAGTAAATATTCTTAATATTATATTATAGGTGGAAGTATTAAAACACATCACACTCCTACCTTGTTCATCCCTCTAAGTGTGGATCTTTCAATGCATGAGTGTTATAAGTCAGGTGATCTGGGTTCTAGTCCCAGTATGAGTATTTAGCACATTATGCACATTTTACTTGATGGTAATAAGAGGACTTAGCTCCCTCATCTCTATTACAACCAATGTAATCAAGTTATTCCTTAGACAGATAAATGCATGGATAGGGACTAGAGATATCACCTGTTCCACAGTATTAGGGCTTTCTAACAGGTCACTGCCATTATAAGGACATGGAAAGTTTTGCCTATATTTTTCTCTAAGCCAGAGTTAATTATATGCTAACCACCCTGGGGAAACCAGAGAGGCTATGCAGTCAGGTGAATTCATTTCCTGTCCATTCATAAGAGGCCCTGGCATAATTTAAACCCTTCAGATACCTGATCTATCCCTTTTCTAAGCAAAGAAACATTGTTTTAAATGGGCAGACCCCAAGTAAATTTACATTGAAGGAGAAAATTTTAAGAACCTGACTTATTAATAAAAATAAATGAACATTTCAGTCTTAAGATTTAAGATACATAAACTGGTGGTAAAAAGAAGTAAAAAATTGTTTTACTTTTTGTATCATATTGGTAGTATACATGAACAGACATTATATATTTACTAAAGGCCCGGTGCATGACATTTTGCGGGGGCAGGGTTCTCCCCCAACCCTGCCTGTGCCCTCTGGCAGTCTGGGAGCCCTCAGGGGATGTCTGACTGATGGCTTAGGCCCACTGCCTCAGCATTGCTGCAGAGGTGGGAGAGGCTCCCACCACCACCGTTGTGCTCACCAGCCTGTGCTCACCAGCCTTCAGCCTAGCTTCTACGTTGAGTGTCTGCCCCCTGGTGGTCAGTGCGCATCATAGCAACCAGTCATTCTGCCATTGGGTCGATTTGCATAATATCCTTTTATTATATAGGATCCTATAGTTTCTTAATATTTGGTGTCTGCAATTACGCATACCTGTATATATTTCTTTTGCCAGGACTTTTTTTTTTTAAACCACATAAAACTCATACTATCAATCCAAGTTCGAAAGCAGAAAATGGGAGCCCTTTCCAAATTTACTCACCTTTATCATAATGTCTAAGGTAGTGCCATCACCATGCTTCAAAACAGTTAGATAGACCTACAAGAGAATATAGGAACAAAAAAGAAGGCATCTAATTAAATGTATCTTCCAAATACTCTAAAGTTAAGTAAGGACAGAAAGCAAGTAAAAAAATTGTAACTAGCCATGTGTTGATGTTGCATATAATTGTGGCAAGAAGCTAAGAGCCCGCATGAACCGGAAAGGCAGATGGCATGTAGTAAGTAAGCAGAGCTCAGGGAATGTGCTTTGATAATCACCTTTCAGCACCACAGTGCAGACTGAGAAACTTTAAACAAATGAGAAGCTAACTACAAATCCCTTAAATACAACATATTAATACAGGATCAGACATGATTTTCAGGTCAGTACTTAGGTAATTTTTAGTTACTATTAAATATGTTCCACACCACAAGAGTGAAGCAGTCACCTAGAAATTAAGGCCATTCATTATGAAAACCTACAGGACTCCTCAGATCAGCGGAGAGAATCTGTTTCCCTTCCACATGGTCCTTAAACCGACGACGAGCTTCTTCTAACGTTGCCTTATGTCCTGCTTTTCCTAGTTTGCCCAGGACCAAGCCCCTCAGGAGTGCATCCAGATGACCTGATTAAGAAGAAAAAGAGACAAAGAACTACTTAAAAAGCCTATTTATACAAATATGCCTCCTAGATGTCTTATAATTGTGTTACATCATATCTACAGTCTTAAATAACAGAATCAATAACCTTAGTACTTGAAAGAACACTTGGTTTAAATTGATGAAATCATATAAGTGAAATGAAGTGCTAAATAGATCAGACAAGCAAATAAATTGCTAACTTTGTCTATATTCAAAAATGCCAACTATCTAAATTTACTAAATGTTCACTTCATCTAGGTAATTATATAGCTAAGGATTGTGTGTGAAAGAACAGGCTTACATCATGCAATTTTAACCCAAGATTCAGGGAAAGGCCACATACAGTACTAATATACTGCATATAAGGAATTAAAAATTGATTTTAAAAATAAAATTTGACAGATTTATTACTCCAAAGATATGCAAATAAGCACATAAAAGATGCTCAACATCATTGATCATTAGGTAAATGCAAATCAAAACCACAATGAGATACCACTTCACACCCAATAGGATGGCTAGAATAAAAAGACAAATAATAACAAATGTTGACAAAGATATGGAGAAATTAGAATCCTCATATATTGCTGGTGGGAATGTAAAATGGTGTGACCACTCTAAAAAACAGTCTTGCAATTACTCGGAAGGTTAAACATAGAATTACTATATCACCCAGTAATTCCACTCTTAAGTATAAACCTAAGAGAAATGAAAGCATAGGCCTACACAAAAACTTGCATACAAATGTTCATAGCAGCAGTCATAATAGTAAAAAAGTGGAAATAATCCAAACACTTATCAACTGATGAACAGACAAACAAAATGCAGTACTGTATTTCCATATAATGGAATATTATTTCAATTATAAAAAGGAATTAAATGATATGTAAAGCATGGATGAACCTTGAAAACATGCTAAATGAAAAAAACTAGACACAAAAGGCCACAAATGATATGACTTCATTTATGTAAAATGTCCAGAAGAGGCAAATCCATCAGATAGAAAGCATATTAGTGGTTGCCAGAGACTGGGAAATGACAGCCAATTGGTATGGGGTTTCTTATGAGGTTAAAGAAATTGCTCTGGAATTAGATGATAGTAACAGTTGTGCAACCTTGTGAACATACTAAAAACTTTGAACTGTATACTTTGAAGGGTGCATTTTATGCTATATTAGTTATATTTTTTTTAAAAAAATTAATACAGCCGAAACCGGTTTGGCTCAGTGGATAGAACATCGGCCTGCGGACTGGAAGGTCCCAGGTTCGATTCTGGTCAAGGGCATGTACCTTGGTTGCGGGCACATCCCCAGTGGAGGGTGTGCAGGAGGCAGCTGGTCGATGTTTCTCTCTCATTGATGTTTCTAACTCTCTATCCCTCTCTCTTTCTCTCTGTAAAAAATCAATAAATTATATATTTTTTAAATTAATACAAATCTGATGGATTTGCAACAGTACAGTGGCCAAATAAAGTTGTGGTATATTTACACAATTAAATACTCCTCAGCAAAAAAAAGGAATGAACAACCTAAATCATAGTGAGTGACAAGAACATCATACTGAGTGACAGAAGCCAGATATAAAAACAGAATCCTATATAATAAAAGAGATAATATGCAAATTGACTGTCACACACTCACAAGATGGCTACCTATGACCAGGCTGGCAGGAGGGTTAGTGAGAGATGGCCAAACAGCTGAACAAGCAGGCTGTGTGGGGCGACCAGGCCAGCGGGGGGTGGGGAGACAGTTAGGGGCAACAGGCCGGCAGAGGGGGAGCAGTTGGGGGTGACCTGGCCAGCAGCGGGGGGAAATCAGGGGTGACCAGGCCAGCAGGGGGGCAGTTAGGGGCAATCAGGCTGGCACGTAGAGGCAATGAGGGGTAATAAGGCCAGCGAGGGGCAGGGCAGTTAGGGGCAACCAGGCAGGCGGGCAGGTGAGCGATTAGGAGTCAGCGGTCCAGGATTGTGAGAGGGATGTCTGACTGCCGGTTTAGGCCCAATCCCCAGCAGGTGGACATCCCCCAAGAGGTCCCGGATTGAAGAGGGTACAGTCTGGGCTGAGGGGACTCCCCCCTCCATCCATGAATTTCGTGCACCGGGTCTCTAGTATATAAAGATAATGATTTCATTTATAGAAAGTTCTAGAAGAGGCAATATTAATCTAGCATTCAAAGAAGTCAGAACAGTGTTTGCCTCCCAGAATAAGACTGGTCAGGAGGAAATACCACCTTTAGTTATTAGCAGATGGTAGAAAATAATTATTTTGTCAACATTTTCTCATGGAGAGAACACACATAGAAGGCCAAATAATTTATTTAATTCAGAAAAATGGCCCTGCCCTGACTGGTTTGGCTCCATGGTTAGAGTGTCGGCCTGTGGGCTGAAAGGTCTCGGGTTTGATTACAGTCAAGGGCATGTACCTTGGTTGCAGGCTAAATCCCTGCCACAGTCAGGACGAGTGCAGGAGGCAACCAATTGATGCGTCTCTCTCACATCAATGTTTCTCTCTGTTTCTCCCTTTCCCTTATACACTCTTAAAAAAAAAAAAATCAATGGAAAAAATATCCTCAGGTAAAGAGTAACACACACAAAAAGAAAACTGGCACCTGTGTCTTTACAAGTTGTATATAAGGTATCTGGTATTTATAATAATAATAATAAAGAAAATAATCCAAAACTCCCTATAGCTCTTCTTGACTATAAATAGGCTTTTGGAACTCATGAAAGACTTTTTATTTCCACCATTTGCTTATGCACAAATCATATTTAGCAATAAATATTGAATCAAATGATGAAGGCTTAGATCTGGATGTGTTGAGTTAGTATAGGGCTGGGGTGTTGATCTGTGAGTGCCTTGGGTGGGGCCCGGATGAGGCTGGTGGACCTATTGGGAAATGTCTTTTGTGTGAAGTGTATCATTGGGCATGTGGAGGTATTATTGATTTGAGAAAATGCTAAGTAACTGATTTACTATCTGAAAAGGGATTTACGATTGGGGAAAGGGAAGGAAGAAGAGACTGAACATAACCTGCACCTATGGATGAGGACAATGGGGGATGGGGAGGGAGCGGAGGGTGGGGTGGGAACCTGGTGGAAGGGGGAAGAAATGAGGAACCTTTGTAATAATATGAACAATAAAGATTGATTAAATAAATAAATAAATAAATAAATAAATAAATAAATAAATATGTTAGTGACCCATGTAACTTCACAACTTGGCTTAAAAGACCCAAGTCTTAATTTCTGGCTAGCTGAATACATAACAACATCTAGCAGATACCAAGATGAGGCTACTGCCATTGTTAACCACAGATAAGTAACAAAGAACCAATTTCCGATCAAGTATTTCTCCATTCCGTACATCCTTTACCTTCTCCAGGTTTGGGGTCCCAGCCCAGTCTCTCCCCTATGGGTGAAAAGACATCTTTCACAAACTCCTGGATTTCCTCATAGAAGTCTGTGTGGGACAAGAGAGTTGAGAGAATCCCCAGGTTACAGCTCAGGTCGCTCCATACAGTATAATTGGGCTCATTCACAAAAGCCTCCATGACTTTTAGAACCTCTACAGTGCTAATGATTCCAGCTCGAGCCTGGGATAGGAAAAAACATAAATTAATCTAGTCTTCTAGCAAAAACAAAACAAAAAACACAAACATGCATTTTTGGCATTATCTACTGCTAGTCAGTCATCTCTTTGCTTTAAAGGAAATGAGACTACAGCAGCTCAGAACACTAGACTTTTATAAAATAAAAATCCTGACAACATTCCCTACCTTTTTTTTGTTGTTGTTGTTATTTATAAAAGAGCCACTTTAAAATATGCTAAAATTCTCCCAATTTGGAGAAAATGAAAAAATAAATGAAGACAGAAAACAGTTAACTTCCTATTTCTATTCTATTTCAGGGGTCTTGGCTTTGTTTTTCTTTTGAAAATTTTCATACATTTAGAAAAGTTACAAAAATAGTTGGGACTCGGGTTTTTGACAGAGGCTCTTTCAAAACTGGACCTGCAAACTATGTCAACTTTAGCTTGTCCTTTACTCATTTCTAAAAGAACACATACTGGAAGGCACTACAAATTCAGAGTCCTTTCAGAATTAGCTAAGAGAGTTAAGAAAAAGAACTTCTGTTACAACAGCCAACTGCACAAACACACCACTCTCCTGGGACAGGTCTCTCTCAGCAATGAGATCAGCAGATGTGAGGTTTTGTGCATCAATACTAATCTGTGTTTATACAAAGGAGGAATCCAAAACCAGTTACTGCAGAGGGCAGGGAAAACTTCAAGTCCAACTTAAAGGAACACTAGGACGAATCTGACAATTTTATCATAGTCAAAGATATCTAGAAATTATCTAACCTATGTTGGAGTCATAAAAATAGCATTACTAATTGCTGCTTTAAATCTTTTCTGGAACAAAGCCAAATATAATTCTAAAGCTAATGGGCTATTATATAGTTGTTAAAAAATTCTAAACTTTCCCAGCAAAGTACAATCTACTTTAGTTAAATAGAAATCATTCTAAATCAATTAAGTATTTTTAATCACATTAGTAGGGAAATTTCTTCAAAGCTCTTACCTATTTCTATTGAAAAGAATTTCTATGTTACAAAGGCTAGTTTAAGTACAGTTGTAAAAAGCTGACCTAGGAATAGTGAAATGGGATTTGTTTCTGGTAAATTATATAGGTTCAATTTTGTCATGTTAGTTAATAATTAGTCATTTGCTCTAATCCCAAAGGCATTCAACCTTCAAGAAGAACTATATTCTTCTAGTTATGTTTCAGTCAGACACTCCAGGAAAAACAAAATCCTTCAATCAACAAAACCCATCACACGATGTGAGAAAGGCTCACCAAGGAGAAGAGGTCATTCTGTAATCCAAGTCGGTCCACAGGGGGCAGAGAAAGGTCACGAATGCCTGGTAATAAACTTTCCAGCATGGCCGAGCTGTACTGGGTCCGATAAAATCCAACGGTTCCCAGGTTTAACTAAAAAGACATCCAGTAGATATTATTAAATAGTTTCATTTATTTTTTAAGTCAATCTTTTGTAGGTTTGAAAGAGTTCTAGTTTTAGTATATCTGGATGAAGACAACAAAAATCATAAATGCCAACAGATAGGGATTAAAATGAAACAACACATAAAGATAGGCCAAAGTGAGGGAAAGTAGGAAGAACATGGAGGGGAGAAATAATATGGATAAGTTTCTATTTCTAAACTTAGTAAATAGTTTTAAGATTATAGAAAATATTTACTATATGTAAAAATACTTGGACAGTGGAATATCTAAGGAAGACTAATAAGCCTTTACAAACAGTAATCTATTGAGCCCAGAGCCTCAAGAGAATAACAAATGACAGGTCCTAGATTTTAAAGAATTACATGAGCCAAAACCGGTTTGGCTCAGTGGATAGAGCATCGGCCTACGGCTGAAAGGTCTCAGGTTCGATTCCAGTCAAGGGTATGTACCTTGGTTGCGGGCACATCCCCAGTGGGGGGTGTGCAGGAGGCAGCTGGTGGATGTTTCTCTCTCATCGATGTTTCTAACTCTCTATCCCTCTCTCTTCCTCTTTGTAAAAAATCAATTAAAAAAAAATATATATAAAGAATTACATGAACTTAAAAAACAGTTCATATGACTTGTGAAATGAGGTTATCACTGACTGTCATTCTCTGTTGACTATTTGCCAATAACAAAAAATATTTGTAATAGTATTTATACATAAAACATTTTAATGGTAAAATAATAGTATAAGATACTTGCTATTTATATAGATATAGTAAAAAATCACCTCATAATTCTAGTACAAATATTGGTTATCTTATCTTTTACTGTAGAAATAATATCTTTGTTTACCTAATTACAATCACAATGTGCATAACTTTTTTCTCATTTATAATAAAATGTTCATATAGCTATTTAATCTTTCAGATTATAATTTCAAATAGAATATAGTATTCTACTGAGTATAAAAATTAAAACAGAGGGAGAAATTACACTTTTCAGAAAGCACAAAAGTCCAGCTAATGTATATTACTTATTAGGAAGCTACAAATGGGAGAAAAGTTTGTAGTAGACACTTTCATTATGAAACGTATAGAACAATGAAAAACAATATTTACCAACTGTTATTTTTATGAAATGTTTTTAAAACACCAGCTAAAGAAATTTCATGTTTCAGACACAAACTGATTATTATACATCTGATCTCACTTGATTATAGTTGTACACATACGATGACAACACATCATTGATGTTAATATATCATTACAATGACAGGACAGTTTGAAGTTGCGAGACTACAAATGTTTTGGTTAGTGTGACTTTATACATAGTCTACTATTTTCCCCCCTTTTTAATGCTTTGTATCTGCTTATCTACCACTCTCTGGCATAAAGGTAAATATCTAGACAATATTATTTAAAAACTAGCAATACATTTTACGTAGGAAAGTTTAGAAATGTTTTTTTCTTTGAAAGTCCTATTCTAATATGAAGCAGTAGAATTTAGAACCAGCCACAAAATGCATAAAAGAAGTGAGAGAAATCAATTTAGATAATATTAAAACGGTCATGCCATTTCTGGACTCACCTTTACCCATTGGTCTGGTTTAACATCCTTCAAAACCACATTCATCTCTGGCTTGTCCATTAGAATTTTCAGTTTGGCATGGTTGGGATCTTCACTAGTAGAGATTGTGATAGGAACCATCCACTGGGGACAGTCTTCTCCTTAAGCAAGAGAACAAATAGAAAACTTGAAAAATAAATTCTCACTGTAAAAAGAAGGTAAGGTGGAGAGAGAGGACTAGTATACTATGTACAGGCTTGAGCCTAACTATTAATATTAAGCCAATAGCTCATTTTTAATGGTACAAAAACTCTTTCAGGTGACCTGATTAATATTGGTGCAAAGAAAAAGAGAATTTATTAACAAAATCACAAGTCTAGCCCGGACCAGTTTGGCTCAGTGGATAGAGCGTCGGCCTGCGGACTGAAGGGTCCCGGGTTCGATTCTGGTCAAGGGCATGTACCTTGGTTGCGGGCATATTCCCAGTAGGGGGTGTGCAAGAGGCAGCTGATCAATGACTCTCTCTCATCGATCTATCTCTCTCCCTTCCTCTCTATATAAAATCAATAAAATATATTTTAAAAAATTACCTTATATACTACTGAAACACTAGAGGTTGGTTTTTATTTTTCTGATAGACAGGATACACCCTGGGCACTAATGGATTCCAAAATGGACAAGTCATATCTAAAAGCCAAAGCTTTTGTGAGACATACACATATTCTTAGGGATCAGACAGCAAAATTAACTTTGCATTAAGATGTCAAACAAAGGAGCATCACTGTCCAATAGTACATCAAAGGAACATTTTAATAAGTTATATGCCTTTATGCTATCAGGCTAAACCATAAATTAAAATTTCCTCTCAACACTGGGATATTTCAGGTTTTAACACTGCCTATATTAGTCATAGAGTATTAGTTAGACCTGCAAAACCTGTTAGTGCTACAATGCAGATTGCAGGTGTGAGGCAGAAAATGGCAACTGTGACCTTAAAGATTTATTTGGATAATACATGTGTCCTCTAACTTTCAAACATATTTATTAAAAGAGTAATTTTAAATGCTAAAGAAGGTTAAGGGTAGAAGGCTGTATCTTTCAACCTTAATCGAATGCATATTTTGGTGGACTGAAGATTAAAAGGCATTGGCAATTCTGATATACACCTCCCCCTGATTCTGATATACACCTCCCCCCGCTATTCTAAAGAGGTTTAAAATAAATACAGAAAACTGTATTTTTTCTTATTTTTCAATTAATCTTTATTTTCCTGGATAAAAGAATCTAATGACATGTAGAGATATTTTTTTTTTAAAACAGAGATGAGTGGTAAGAGTATAAATTCATGGAATCCAATTATTTTGTTTGAATTCCTACACTTTTTAAATTATTTTTAAATATATTTTTTATTGATTTCAGAGAGGAAGGAAAAAGGGGAGATAGAAACATCAATGATAAGAAAGAATAACTAATCGGCTGCCTCCTGCACACACCCCTTTCTGGTGATTGAGCCTGCAACCTAGGCATTTGCCCTGACCGGGAATCAACCCATGACCTTCTGGTGTATAAGTCACTTCTTAACCACTGAGCCATGCCTGCTGGGCTGAATTCCTACTCTTTAACTCATTAGAGAATTAACTCAAAGTGACCCTGGGCAATTTAACTAACCTACCTATGCTTCAGCTCCCTCATTTGTAAAGTGGAAATAATTTTACTTACCAAATAGGATTGCTGAGATTATAAAATAAGGGTCAATTACAGAGCTAGCACTATAATATATCTAAATAGTCACTGGGCTTTATTTATTTACTTACTTACTTATGCCCAGAATTAAAAAAAAAATTAATTAGCCACCCACACAAACATGTATTAAGTCTTCTTTTAGGCATTAAGACTAGAGCATCACTGCTTGATGTTCCTATGCTTCTTCATACACAGAGACATGGAATATAAAAAAATCTAAGAATATGACATTATATATACTTCATAAATCCCCTTTCTTAATTTTAAAAATTGATTTGGAAGTGAGAGAGAGAAAGTGGTAGTGGGACAAACACACACACAGAGAGAAAGAGATGTCGATAAGTTGTTGCACTTATTTATACATTCACTGGTTGATTCTTATATGTGATCTGACCAAGGATCAAATCCACAACCTCAGCATATCAGGACGGTGCTCCAACCAACTGACCTACCCAGTCACAGCATGGATCTTTCTTGATTTTCTGGATTTCATATTTATTCTATTACCACTTCCTTGTTTTTCTTAATTCTACTAAAATTTTTTAAAAATGGATAATTATTGCCGAAATTGGTTTGGCTCAGTGGATAGAGCGTCGGTCTGGGGACTGAAGGGTCCCGAGTTCAATTCTGGTCAAGGGCATGTACATTAGTTGTTGGCATATCCCCAGTGGGGGGTGTGCAAAAAGTCATAGATCAACTGCCACTTATAGCCATTTGCTTACCAACATATGGTCCACTGGCACAGAATTTCCTTTGGGACAGCTTCAGTAATCGGTCATTTTCTACCTAAAGAAACAAAACAAAGGCTATAGTAGTATAAAATTATTTTCTTTTTTGGAAGAGGCAACATTTCTGTGACAAAGTACAGGCAGTCCTCAGGTTATGTTGGACTACTTTACATCGTTTTGTGGTTATGTCGCTGTCACCCATTTACAGTATTTATGTGGAGGAAAAAAAAAGTTCCATCATTTTAACGTATGTACATATGTGCTTTATGTTTTTTATTATTATTATTATTTTTTACCACAAGGGATTGTTATCTTTCTTTAAATTTTTTTTTTAATAATCAAGGATTATCATCTTTCTTTTATTTTATTTTTTTACTATTTCACTTCATTTTGCTGTATGTACTCCAAGTGAGTGACGTAGACACTTATGTGGGCGGGTTACCAATTATGGCGAAAATCGAGTTACGTTGTGCCGTACTAACGGATCTCTGACGTAACCCGAGGACTGCCTGTAGAAGGTAAAACCAGTATAATCAAATGTCATGTAAGTACACAAGAAATGCAATGATGATGCTATAGGATAGTGAAAGGTCACTATTTCTTATTTAGGCTTCAAAATAATAATCTAAATAATAAAGAGCTATTATGCAAATAGTTATAATGCCCTGACGCTTAACGACAGATCAGCAGGAGGCTGTGTGCACAGGCGCAGGTGGGCATGACTTGCACGAGTCTCCAGGCCTAGGGACGTGAGGCTTGCAGTGCCATCCCGAGGGACGTGAGGCTCACAATTCTACCCCAGGCGCCGGGCCCAGGGATGTGAGGCTCTCGGAGGCTTGCATTCCTGCTCCTGGCGCCAGACCCAGGGATTTGAGGATTGTGGCACTGGCCCCAGGGACAAGAGCCTCGTAGAGGTCTACCTCTTTGGGGTGACGGATCGAGGGACTCCTACATTGTGACAGAGCATAGACCAGGCTGGGGGACCTCACCCAACTGCATGAATTTCATGCACCAGGCCACTAGAAGTCTAAATAAAAGAGCAGGTTCTATGTAATATGGTTCCTCAGAAGAAATATTGTAAAACTTTAAAGGATGAAAGTTCTCAAAAGGATACATAACAATAAGTAATACTACAAAAAGTTATTTTAGATTAGCATGTGAACTCAATGTTCAGAATTCAAACTTTTAGAATGACTTATAAGCATAAAAAAGAACACGTTTTGTTTTTAAAGGTTAAGCTTTGCAATGAAACAAAAAAGTATGGGGGAAACTAAAAAGCCAGAAGCAACAAAGACAAGTACGTGATTTTTAGAGAGAGAGGAAAAGGGAGAGGAAGAAATCAAAAATTGTTTTAATTACAGAGCTCTCCTATTTCCCACCAAATATGATTGATGCATTCACTAAACTGCCTTTTCAAATGCTTTCAGCCAATCTGAGAGGTACTTTTTATTATAAAACTAAAGGCCTGGTACACAACATTTGTGTACTGTGTGTGTGTGTGTGTGTGTGTATGTGTGTGTGTCCCTCAGCTCAGCCTGCACCTTCTTGCAGTTCACGACTCCTCAGGGGATGTCCAACTGCTGGCTTAGGCCTGCTCCTCTGTGGGAGCGCCGCTCAGCCAGAACCTGGGCTCACTGCTCCTTAGAACGAACGGCCTTGGAGGTGGGAGAGGCTCCCACAACAGCCGCTGCACTCACCAACCATGAGCCCAGCTTCTGGCTTAGTGGCGCTCCCCCTGTGGGAGCGCAGTGACCATCGGGGGACAGCTTCCATGTTGAGTGTCTGCCCCCTGGTGGTCGGTGCACATCATAGCGACCAGTCTTCTGCCGTTTGGTCAATTTGCATATTAGGGTTTTATTATATAGGAGGATACAATCATTTTTAAGGTTAAGATGTGGCTTTGGAAGGTTAACTTACACTGTAATGTACCATGTAAATTTGGGTGCATTTTGAGGGCTGGTTTAAATGTCACCTAGAATTCTTAAAGTACATAAAAATAAATTTGAAACCATTGATTGAATTTCACTTAATATTAGACAAATTGAGGGACTTTTTATTAAGTTTACCTGTTCTGCTTCCACATAAATGAGGGGAAATCCCATTTGTTTGGTCCAAGTATTCATCACCGCTGCTATAGGTTTACCACTAGCACCTTCTAAACATTCCCAAAGGTCCTCTAGGAGATACACAAACAATGAAAATGTAAATGTTCACATTTTTATTTTCCTAAAAAACCGCACAAGTTTTATATGTGTGGTTTTTGACAATGCATTGCTGACCAACTCTTCGCTTCTTTCATGTTCAGGAAACAAACAGCCAAATTAACATCCTCCTTGTCTTATCATTAAGTTAACTCTATTACAAAAAATGGTCTTATATTCTAAGATGTTCCTAACTTTTCTAATTTATTAAAAATTACAAATTAAAACAAACCAAAGAGAAACAGGTGAGTTTGAACAAGAATAAATAGAAACAAACAAATGGAAACACATTTAAGATTACAACTAAACAATCATTCACAAACATAAAACCATTATATTCACTCAATTAACAGAGTTAAAAAATACTCAAAGCTGATGTGGTGGTAGAGTGAGTAAAACAGTAATGCCATGAGACACATACTATAATGGGAGTAGGAACAGAGAAAAAGCAATTAAAGGAAAATCCAAATAAAATAAAAGCTTCACAAGAGTTGACTTTTTGGCCTGCACCCTGAAAAAGAGTTGTTCGTTAGATAGATATAAACCACTAGCTCATTCCAATTAGGCAGAATAAATGGTCTATGTACAAAGATAAAAGTATAAGAAAAAGACAGAAAATAACGAAAAATAGCAATATGTTCAATTAGCTGAAAATAGAGGGCACATGTGTGGGAATAACGAGCAATGAAGCTATAAAAGTAGGTAGGGCTGAACTGCTGAAGACTGTATGATTTACAAAGAAGTACTGACTATTGAGGGAATGTGGCATTCCCATTATTTTACTTTTTAAATCTTTATTGTTGAAAGTATTACATATGTCTTTTTTTCCCATGGACCCCTCCACATTCCCAGTATTTTTAATCAGTAGGGTGATGTAATCAGATATTCACTTCAGAAAGATAATCCTAGCTAGCCTCAGAGAGAGAGATGAAACTAAATAGAGTGGGGCAAGACAAGTAGTGAGTTAATAGGCAACTACAAAGTTCAATAGATCATGAAGGCAGGCATGAATTAAGGAAAGTGCAGTGAGATAGAAAGAGGGCACTGGAACTGCTGCGAGAGGATACAGATAACTACAATGTATCTGAACTGCCAACTGTCTTTCATAAACCACAAAACAAACCAAAAAAAGGTATATGGTGGGCCTTGCTATTCAAGTGTGGCCTATGAACTAGTAGCACAGGCTTCACCTGGGAGCCTGTTAGAAATGCAGACTCTCAGATCTTACCCCAGACTTACTGAATTATAAACATTCTAATAGATCCCAGGTGATTATATGTCCATTATAATTTAAGAAGCACAAGGTACTTCCCTCATATATTATATACGGGCATACCTTGGATATACTGCAAGTTCTGTTCCAGAACACCACAATAAAGCAAATATCTCAACAAAGTGAGTCACATAAATATTTTGGTTTCCAGTGCATATAATAGTTATGTTTATATTATACTATAATCTATTAAGTGAGAAATAGTATTATGTCTAAAAATGTACATATCTTAGTTAAAAATATTATATTGCTAAAAAATACTAACCATTGTCTGAGTCTGTTTGAAAAATGGCACTGACAGACTTGCTCAATGCAGGGTTGCCATAACCTTCAATTTGTAAAAAACACAACATCTGCGAAGTACAATAAAAACAAGGTATGCCTGTATACGCATGCCAAAGATTCATAAAACTTGCAAGAGTACATTTTTCTGTAGTCCTTCTTTAAGGAACAGATTGCCTCTATTTAAAAACTAAAATGGAAATTTATGGGGCTGGGAGTGGGGTGTGAAGGTTACATCATGTCCTAAACAGAGGGGAGATTGTATTTTTAAATCGCAGGTTACAAACCTAAGGAACACCCTTATAGCCAGGATTCTGAACTTCTGTCATCCTATTAAATACTAATGACATTACATAAATCTTGCTTTTTTTAAAACTATTTCTGTTCACTGAAGGACTCAAAACTATGACTCTGGCTCTTTTTCATATCCAATCAATTCTTAAGCTTTCATTCATCCTTTTGACTCTGATAGCAAATAAACTATAGACCATCACACGCAAAAATTTCTTAAGATTTTACATCACTGAAACTCTAATTCCGTATATTAACTTCTAAAAATGGTTAATCTGCAGCTATTTTAATGATTAATGATTAATGATTAATTTAGGGCAATAAAACCAACAAATAGTCAAAAAAGAACAAGCTCTAATAAGGTAAACAGCACTCTTCAGACTCTCTTAAGTGGCAAAACACTGAGCTATGGAAAGCTGACTATTGAAGGATGATGACCAAAAGATAATGGGCTCTGACTTAACAAATGGCATAAAATAAGTCAACTTCATTTCCTATCCAACGCAAAGAAAGTAAAGCAGCTAGAAAAAAGTAAATGTCCCACTTCCATTTCTCTCTCAAGCTATTAAAGATTACCTGTGGCAGCATTCTTTTGCTGGAACTTGGTTAAATACATGTTCATTCCTTTCTTAAAGTCCTGAGAAAATAAAATTTTTAAAAATTCAAGAGTCAGACTTCAGAATTTATAATATATTTACATATTAATACTCAAAAGCTACTTTACTAAAATTATTGAGTGTCAGATTTATTGAAATACATACATATATATCTACTGCCTTTTATTTATTTTAAATATATACTTTTATTGGTTTTACAGAGGAAGGGAGAAGGAGAAATAGAAACATCAATGATGAGAAAGAATCATTGATCAACTGCCACCTGCATGCCCCTTATAAGGGATCGACTCCAAAACCCAGGCATGTGCCCTGACTAGGAATCAAACCATGATTGCGTGGTTCATAAGTCAATGTTCAACCACTGAGCCACACTGGCCAGGGTACAGACTTTTATTTAAGAATGCATACCGTGGCCCTGACTGGTTTGGCTCAGTGGATAGAGCATCGGCCTGTGGACTGAAGGGTCCAGGGTCGATTCCAGTCAAGGGCATGTACCTTTGTTGTGGGCATATACCCAGTAAAAGGTGTGCAGGAGGCAGCTGATCGATGTTTCTAACTCTCTATTCCTCTCCCTTCTTCTATGTAAAAAATTAATAAAATAAAAAAATGCATACTCTGGCCCTGACTGGTTGGCTCAGTTTGTTCAAGTCCTGTATTACTAAAAGATCATGGGTTTGATTCCCAGTCAGGGCACATACCTAGGTTGTGTGGATAAAGGAGGCAACTGATCGATGTTCCACTGTCACATTAATGTTTCTCTCTTAAAAAAAGAAAAATCAATAATAATAAAAAACTGCATACTCTGCCTTCTCCTTTTAAGTTTTATACCAGCCTTCCACCCACTTCCAAACATATTTGTATATCATTCATCTAAGAGATCACAAGAGTCAATATAAAAAAATAAAGACAATCCAGTAATGTGATATTCTTCTAGATGCAAAAAAAAAACTTTACTTAGAAACTTAATCTAATTAAGATCTTTTTGTCACCATAAAAGAATAGAAAACTTTTAAAATTGCTTTTTTACCGTATCCCCAATGTAGTCATGCAGCATTCGGATGACAGATGCACCTTTGCTATATGATATAGCATCAAATATCTCATCAACTTCAGAAGGATGGCCCACACTGACCTGGCAGACAGTGTAATTCAAGGTTATGACAGGAAGCAGACAATCTATAATATGAATTACATAAAAAGCTTTCTAGGAAAATACTTCTAACATGATACTTTTCTACATTTAGTTCCCTCATAATGTATAACGATGACCCTTAAATATGTGTGTGTGTGTGTGAGTGTGTGTGTGTGTATCATGATCCCTGTCAACTCTTAGGGTCCAGTCTTGGCTCTACTTTGCTTGGGATGCAAGTCACTATCAATCTGTGTATTGGTGGTGGTAGTGAATGGGAGTGGAGAAGAGAGCGATGAAAACACTTTCTTTCTTTCTTTCTTTCTTTCTTTCTTTCTTTCTTTCTTTCTTTCTTTCTTTCTTATGATTTATAATTATATAGGACCTTGGTTAAATATGTCAAAGTAGATTATAAGTCTAGTTCTTTGAAAACAAAATTTATACATTTAAACTTAGCTAAAGTAACAAACAGGTAAGTCAAGAGAATTAAAAAATATATATAAACAGATAATGACAACAATAAAAGAATATGTTCAGAATTTTCTTAAAAACAAACAATGGAATGATAATGTTCCCCTATGCATATTACTCAATAGATATGGTTCTCCCATACTATTCAATAAAAATATATTTAATGAATGCTTAAGAGTACATAGTTCTTGATTCTACTAAGATCAATTTTTACAGTGTCTATCTTAAGAAGAAATATAATTAGACCAGTCTTGCTAGATTTTCAAGACTGGAAATATAAACTATAAAAACGAGTGAATCACCCATGCAATTTTCAGAGTTTTAAATAGCTCTGTAACAAATTACTTCATTAAAAATGAGAGCAATGGTTAAAATTATGGCTCACTTCAATAGGATGGCTGTTATCTAAGGCATCAAGCTCCTGTGCACGTGTATAGTCAGCAGAAACAAACTGAGTCCAGATATCATACTCTGGGAAGCAGTGGTCTACACACAGATATTCAATCCAGGATGCAAAGCCTTCATTTAACCATAGATGTGTCCACCATTCCTAAAAACAAAAAAGAAATATGTAAAGAAAACAAAATACTTCTCATTCCACTCATTGAAAAACTCACATGTCCCTTCCACTATACTCTAAAACTTGCCAACTTAATGAACTAAAATAAAAAATTAGTAAATAACTAAAATCTCTCTTTTTTTTAATCCCCAGCTGAGAATATGTTTCTACTGATTTGAGAGAGTCAGAGAGAGAGAGAAAGAGAGAGAGAGAGAGAGAGAGAGAGAGAGAGAGAGAGAGAGAGAGAGAGAGAGAGAAACATCAACTGGTTGTCTCCTGTACTTTCCTGACCGGGTTTAAATCCACAATCTTTTTGTGTACTGGACAATGCTCCAACCCACTGGGCCATACAGGCCAGGGCAGTAATTCATATATCTGGACTACAGGCTCTACAGCAGCGGTTCTCAATCTGTGGGTCGTGACCCACTAGCAGGGTTGCCTAAGACCATCGGAAAACACAGATATTTACATTACGATTCATAACAGTAGCAAAACTACAGTTATGAAGTAGCAACGAAAATAATGTTATGGTGGGGGGTCACCACAACATGAGGAGCTGTATTAAAGGGTTGAGGCATTAAAAAGGTTGAGAACCACTGGCCTAAGGGTTGCCAGTTCAATTCCTAGTCAAGTGCATGTACCTGGGTTACAGGTTTCATCTCTGGCCCTGGTTTGGGAGTGTGCAGGTGGCAACAGATCTCTCTCTCTCTCTCTCTCTCTCTCTCTCTCTCTCTCTCTCTCTCTCCCCCCTCCCTCTTTCCTTTCCACTTCCACTTTCTTTAAAAATCAATGGAAAAAATATCCTAGGATGAGCCGAAACCAGTTTGGCTCAGAGGACAGAGTGTCAGTCTGCGGACTGAAAGGTCCTGGGTTCAATTCCGGTCAAGGGCATGTACCTTGGTTACGGGCACATCCCCAGTGGGGGATGTGCAAGAGGCAGCTGGTCGATGTTTCTCTCTCATCGACGTTTCTAACTCTCTATCCCTCTCAATTCATCTCTGTGTAAAATCAATAAAAATATATTTTTAAAAAATATATATCCTAGGATGAGGATTAACAAAACAAAACAACAAAAAAAAAACCTCCCCCCAAAACAAACAAACAAAAAAAACCACACAAACAAACCCAGAAAGGTACTAGAACCAAACAAGAAAAACTGGAAAACTATTTCCATAATGGCTGAGAAAAATCATTGTTTATGGATGAGTTAAACATTCTAGATAAATAGAAAAGCAGTACTGCTTATATAAGAATTAGGTGAGATGAACAGTAATGGCAGTAAGTAGTTCAGTAATGAATGGTATTTAAGCATTTATCGAATAGAAAATTCTCACCTGTTAAGAATTAATAGGGGGATGAACAAAGAATATAATGGGTCAAAAAATCAACTTTTATTTTCTTAAAGCACATTTTAGAGATTTTAATATAATTTTCATTAAAGTTGATTAAATCTCTTATGAAAAGAAAAAGATATATAAATCCATGCTAAATGCTAAAGGATTAATGCAATGGTAAAAACCAAAAAGGCATTTTAAAATTCTGAAAAAACCAAGATTTTCCAATATTAAGTGATAAATGGCTATTTATCTAAGTGTTTTGTACTACTAGCCTCCATTAAGATAGCTGGTACAAAGCTATTCTCCAACCTATCTCCAAGCCCTTGAATTTCAGTTATTGAAACAACAGTATTTAATAACTACAATAGTTACTCAAATCAGGTAAAAAGCTGCTTAAAATCAATATAATAATGCACATATTTCCCCAAGAGTTATTACTGGTAGTTTCAAAATAAAATCATAAAAAATAAAGCTGGCTGAAAGCTGAGCCAAAAAAGAAATTGTTTAGTAGCAACAAACTTGTTGCATTAAGTAGAAAAAAAACATTTATGTACATATCTGAATACGCATACTTAATTCCACATAAAATTATATTTCAAAAAAATGTTTTTCATCCGTAAGTAAAATTTTAAACATCCAAAGTAAAAGGATAGAGTTTACTTTCAAGAGCTGACTTCCTTTAGAAACTGTCTCAGACATGTCATAGTTGCTACATGTCTTACTTTCTTGCTTATTTCTGTGACATATGGTCTTAACTAACACCCAAGTCAGGTTTTGCTCTTTGGCAGCCTAAAATGCCATCAGGGATTTGGCTGACTCCAGAATCTCCAATTCTTCCTTTGCAGAGGTACTTCTAGTTCACTAATTAAAGCCTGTGCTCCCAAGCTTTAACATAATTGGCTATTGTAGATGGTATTTATTTACACTAATTCTGCAATTTCTTTGCTTGAATTTCTATTAAATTTCAATATAACATTTTAGGCAATAAAAAAACAGACCCCTAAAAACATTTCAATATAATCAAACTAGAAGCCTAGAGCATGAAATTCATGTGTATAGGGAGGGTACCTCAGCCTGGCCTATGCCCTTGGGGGATGTCTGACTGACGATTTAGGCCCGATCCCTAGGGGCCTAAACCGGCAGTCAGACAACTCTCTTGCAATCTGGGATGCTGCATGCACCAGTGACCATACTTTTCATACAGATGAAAAGCATCTTGCTGCCCTAGCTGGTTTGACTCAATGGACAGAGCATCAGTCTGTGAACTGAAGGGTCCCAGGTTTGATTCTGGCCAAGGACACATGCCTGGGTTGCGGGCTTGATCCCTAGTGGGGAGCGTGCAGGAGGCAGCCAATCAATGATCCTCATCATTGATGTTTCTATCCTTCTTTCCCTCTTCCTTCCTCTCCAAAATCAATAAAATATATTTAAAAAGAAAGAAAAAAAAGCATCTTGCAGCTATATATTTTTTGCCATGATTTTAAAAAGTAGCACATAAAAAAAAAAAAATAGCAGCACATAGCATGATCCTTCTGAGGCAGTAGTACCATTTCCCCCATCTTATGGGTAGAAAAACTGAAGCAGAGAGAAGTTAATTGGTTTTTTCACACAGTGGTAAGTGTCAGAATCAGGGCTGGCCACAAAATGTGCAAGCCAGAGTCCATGCATGTCGTCACTGCATCATCCTGTTTTTTCAGTGTTAGAGCAGCCTTGCCAGGTTTTAATCTTTAACTCTAAGAGACTTCCAATATATAGGGTAGCGTCCCTAGGCCTTGCCGACAATGAGAGTCCATTTGTGGGGCAACCAATGGGCAGGACAATTGGGGGTGACCAGAGTGATTGGGGGGGCCTGCTGGTACCTGCCTTGGCTGGCAACGTGGCACCGCCCACTAACCAGCCCTGCCCCCTGACCACTGATCCCCGTCGCATGCCTCTCGGGGGGAAGGAGAACAGATGCCCCATTTATTTCTGTGGCACAATGTTCCAGGCAACCCTGAAATACTATGTAGCCAAAATAATGTGCAGCAGGATGAAGATAAATATATTTGAGCACTTAAAAATATTAAATACCATAGTAACAAGATTTCCAAACCATTGATGGGCGAGTTCATGTCCCACAACCAGAGCAACCCACTGGCGTGATGAAGAACAGGAATTTTTTGAATCAATAAGCAATGCAGTCTCCCTGTGTTTAAAAAAAAAAAAAAAAAGAATGAAATAATTAAACAATAAAAATATTATAATAAAAACATGCACAAGTAGGGAAGGAGATTCAAATAGTAATAAGATGATCAAATTAGGCTTTAGAGATATCAAGAAAACATTTTCTTAGTATAAAGAATAGAAAAAGTTCCATGAAGATTAAAGACTACATCAGTAGAAGTCATACAACAGAAGACAAAGATGTGACACAAGTTTAATTATCAGGTTATTGAGAGGACAGCTGCCTGAAATTTTGAAAGAACTTTGTCTTAGTGATTTAGGGATTACTGTGCTAGATAGAGAGAAGACAGTTCTTCCATTAAAAGAATGAGAGTGCCAAGTTGGGGAAGATGCATTCCACAATCCTAAAAAGAACACTAAGAAGGTTTTCTGAAACTTGGCTCATCATAGAAGGCAATTGCAAGTAGAAGGCAAAATCTTGTTTATAGACCCTGCTTCAAAAATTATATAACCCACATGTTTATAATGTAGTGACAGATATGTAAAAATTTGGCTAGAATATACTTTAAATCAGGGAAGGTTCGTCAAGCTAAATAAATAACTATGAAACTACTGGGAGGAAGAGAAGGCATCGAACTGAGAAACTGACCCCCAAACATATCTAAAAATGTTACTAAAGCCAGATGCTCACTAAAAATCATACAATCTCAGATAGTAGGACTAAAGGGTGTTCATCCACGTTTTTGAAATGTGCACAGAAGTGAAGGGAGGTAGGAATATTTATGGTAGATCATAATGCAGAAGATACTCAACTGTGATTATGAGTGAAGCTTTTATGAAATCAGTGATTGAAAAGATAAGGCAGGGTAATGCCTCATTAACATACCTATAAGTAACAAGGCCCCAGTTCTCCATGGCACCTTCATAAAATAAATATAAACATTTATTGATATATACACATACTTCTTCCTCAAAAATCACAAAATCAAAATAATTATTACAATTCAGCAATAAAATGAAATTTACTTTACCAGCTGCAAAGTCTGCAATAGCAATGAGATCAATTTTAGGTAGAGGATAAGGAACATTGAAGTAGTCCTTATAAAAAGGCAGGGTTTTAGCAGCAACCTATAAAAGTATAAACAAAAAAACCATCTAATAAATATTTTATTGGAATTCATATAGAAATCCACAAAGGAATCCTGTTGCAAGCCAAATTATTTCAAGTTACTAGAAATCAATCCCAGGGGCCCTACGTTCAAAGAATGTGTTAGCCGTAAGCTTTGTTGGCCAAACTCTAGTTATATATAACTCGGTATGAAAAATATAATTACATATTTTCCCACTCACTCTCTGTATAAATAAATTCTGCTCTAATATTCTCTTAATCATTATCTCATAGAATGTTAGTGCAACAGCAAGGTTGGTACTTCAAAAATTCTATTACAAATAAAACCAAAGTAGCACAACAAATTTCAGTTTAAGTTATAAATAAATGTACTAATAATTGATCAGAAATGTAAATTCCCCAACCTGGAGTTATGGACTGTTGGAACAATCCTCTTCAAGTACATTTACCTCTAACGCAAATTTTCCTTGCTCTGCTTTGCCAACAGGGGTGTAAACACGGACACACACACCATCTTTTGACCTTGTTTCTACAAAGTCATATTCACCCACAACAAATGCCACCAGATACGTTGACATGACAGGTGTGCGGGCAAACTTCACTTCCACTACATTTTCATCATCAGGGTATGGTTTCCGATCAATTACATTCTTAAAAAAAAAAAAAAAGATAAAATTTAAACAGATTTACATTAAATATAGAGAAAACACTAGTCCAAAACTGTAGGCTTTGTTGCCTTTCCTTTCTCATTTCCAGAACTTATCTATACCAATTCATCCAGTGCTTTAATGCTGTCAAAATCTTTCCTATTAAGAAGGAAAGTGGAGGGAGGGGGCAATGTAAGATATGTATACATATAATACCTTAATAAAAAAAAAAAAGAAAAAAAAAAAAGAAGGTAAGTGAGTTGATCATGCATTCACATTAAAAAGTTCTAGGCTAAAATGTTAAAAGAATGAGTAAAAAGAAACAAATTTTTTTGAATGCCTAAATATGCCAGGCACTGGAATGTTTTAAGACAAAGCTCAATACTTTTTAAGTGAAATAAACCTAGGAGACAATAATTATTAATAAAAAGAAAAGTGCAATTGTGAAATCTACATTTCAAAGAGAACAGATTTTTAGATTTAGAGCATTCTCTGTACTAAGACTAGCTCTAAGCAAATTTGTGAAGAAATCTCATTATACTGTTGGAGTCCCTAATTTCCCTTTGGTCTTCTCCCCTTTTTTCCTATTCAGGCTCTCAGTTTCCCCAACATCTCTCTCATCGTTCTTCCAAGGAAGACTTATTCAAAAACAGACCTGATAAATTCATACTAAATTGTAAATTAATATTTTAGTTTATTAGCCTGCTCTCTAAGAATATTTGAGAAGAGAATGGCATTCTATCTGTGGAACTCTTTTCCCTAATAAAGGAGGCAAAAGCCGTTATTTTCAGGTGCAGTAGGCTTTCCCAAGTTTCCCAGATTCACATTATAAGCTATAGGATATACTCTATGTCTGAAAGCAGTCCTAGACAAAACATTCAAGTGGTAAATGCTTACTTTGTTTATGAATGAGATCAGTGCATATTCCAAAAATACAATCAGCCAAAAATCTAAATACAATTTTCATTATGTGGTTATATCTTTTGATATTTAAGAAATCAGATTTTTTGAGGGTAGTGAACACACCATATAATATACAGATGATGTATCATAGAATTGTACACCTGAAATTTATATACTTTTTTATTAATCAATGTCACCCCCAATAAGTTCAATTTAAAAGATGTTTTTTTCTTTTGTGTTATATTTATTAAACTCATCACTTATTTATGTCTCTAAATGAAAAGAAGATAATCTGGTTGATATGGTTTACAGCGGTTGCCAACCAGTGATCCTCGGACCATTGGTGGTCTGTGAGGTCCGAAAGGTGGTTTAGAATTTCTCCCATGAAGTGGAAAATTCTAAATAAGGCAATTAGAAAAAAGAGAGCTTATTAGAAATACAAAAAACTAACATTTGTTAACTATGAACCATATGTTAGGTGGTTTCATGCTATCTCATCTAATTAGTAAATTAAATGTGCTAAAATTCAAAATTTAAATATACTTACAAACACATACATACCATGTTTGATAAAGCTACTCTGTCTTTAGGAACAACCAATGAGATATCAAAAGTGGCTTTGATGGCAGGCTCATCCCAGCAAGGAAAAGCCCTCCGAGCATCAGTAGCCTAAAAAAAGAAAAAGAATATGAAATGTAAGTATCACTGATTAACTCAGCAGTCATCTCTTCCTCTCTATTTCTATCATTCCTTCACTTGTGCAAATATTTACTTTCTACTTAGTGCTAGGCAACAAGCTAGGAACTAACTACAAAGAAACACAAGGCTTATTATAATTGTCACATAGTAAGGAACTATATCTTCTATAGATCATAACAATTTTGTAAAAATATATTTTATTTCTATTATTTTTTATTAAAAATATATTTTATTGATTTTTCAAAGAGAGAAAAGGAAAGGGATAGAGAGTTAGAAACATCGATGAGAGAGAAACATCGACCAGCTGCCTCCTGCACACCCCCCACCGGGGATGTGCCTGCAACCAAGGTACATGCCGTTGACCAGAATCGAACCCAGAACCTTTCAGTCCGCAGGCTTACGCTCTATCCACTGAGCCAAACCAGTTTCGGCTGATCATAACAATTTATAGCATCGATTTTCAACCAGTGTGTCCCAAGAATTTGTAAAACATTCAATACCTGACTATTTAATCAAAGGCACTGACCTCTTTTCCTTTAGATTACCAAATAAAGAAATGACATCAGCCAACACAATAGCTGTCCTGTGTGAATAAATAAAAATTATACCTATTTTTTTTGCCATTTTGGCAAAAACGTATTTTTTGGTGTGCTGTAGAATTTTAGTAGTTTATGTGTGCCATGAGATGAAAAGGGTTGAAAATCGCTGATTTATAGTATTAGTTATTTATAATTTTATATATATTTTATATTTTTGTTGATTTTTAGAGAGGAGTAGGAAAGGGGGGAAAGAGAGAGAAACATCAATGTGAGAGAGAAAAATCGATCAGTTGCCTCCTGTTTGCACCCTGACCAGGGATGGAACCCTCAACCTGGGTGTATGAGCTCTGACCAGGAATCAAATCCACAATCTTTTGGTGTACAGAATGATGCTACAACCAACTGAGTCCCACTGGCCAGGGATATAATTATATACATATATTTTTAAAAATAGATTTTATTGATTTTTTTTTTTTACAGAGAGGAAGGGAGAGGGATAGAGAGTTAGAAACATCGATGAGAGAGAAACATCGATCAGCTGCCTCCTGCACACTTCCCTCTGGGTTTGTGCCCGCAACCAAGGTACATGCCCTTGACCAGAATTAAACCTGGGACCACTGAGTCCGCAGGCTAATGCTCTATCCACTGAGCCAAACCGGTTAGGGCTATAATTACTTTTTTTTTTTTTAATTTTTTGTGAGTTTATTTGAGCCTTACTGTCGACATATGTCGGGAAGCAGAACCTCAACAGATTGAGATAATGCTCCAAAGAATGGCGGGTTACATTTCTCTATTTATACACTGAAATCAAAGGAGGGACATAGGTAGGTTACATGAAATTTATTGGTGATGGAGTAAGGAGGCGAGAAAAAGCACAGCGGGATTGGATAAAAAGTAAAATGATGGAAGTGTACTCAGGTGAGTGCAGGAACAATTAACATAATAACAAAGGAATTTGAGGCATCTGTCCTGGCGCCTACCACATTTGGTTGTGCCCCAGGGGCTCCGTATAATTACATTTTTGATAAAAATATTTCAAAAATGGAATGCAAATGGCTCCATCAATAATGTTAACACAATAAGAGTATAGAGAGGGTCAATAGTATACTGTAAGGATTCAGAATTGGGAAAATATGATAGGTTGCCTCTCTGGCTTTTATTTCAAAAGTAAAAATATTTTCAGAATCTTTGATGTACTTTGTTCTTTATCTGGAATGTTAGCAATGGGAATAAAGACAGACATTTCATCAATTCTAAGGAGGTAATTTGTTCAATGGCATTTCCATATACTAAACATAAAACTGTCACCACTTGACTTACTTAAATAGACCTCATTCTTTCTTTAAAAGTAAAAACAGAGCACAGTTGTTAAAGCAAAATAAAATTTAGTGGTTCAATAGAATATCAGTTGCAAAAGGACAAAATTAAATAAAAGAACAAAACAGAAAATAAAGAACTAATGACAATATTCTGTGTCATGAAAAGGAAGTAACAAAATATACAGAAGTAGCCAAAACTGGTTTGGCTCAATGGGTAGAACGTCGGCTTGGGGACTGAGGGGTCCTGGGTTCGATTCCAGCCAAGGACATGTACCTTGGTTGTGGGCATATCCCCAGTGGGGGGTGTGCAGGAGGCAGCTGATCAATGACTCTCTCTCATCGATGTTTCTAACTCTCTGTCCCTCTCTCTTCCTCTCTGTACAAAATCAATAAAATATTTTTTTTAAATATATATATATTTTTAATATATATATATATATATATATATACAGAAGTAGAGAAAGTAGAGAAGTAGAAAGATATTTATATATATTATATATATATACAGAAGTAGAGAATGTAGAGAAGTAGAAATATATATATATATTTAAAAAAAAAAATATATATATATATACACAGAAGTAGAGAAACCCTGAAAAGGGTTTTCTAAAGAGGAAAAATGTTAGATGGCTGATTGCACTCTCAAAAAAATTAGATTAAAATTCTGTCAAAGAATAAAAAAGACATGTGAAAAGTAAGTAGAGTATAAGAAAAGAAATGGCAGTAAAGAGAACTTAAATTAGGAGCAGAAGCAATACAGAAAGAAATTTATACTAGAGGAAATTAAATGAATGATACAAATAACAAAATTTAAAGATTTCTGAAATATTCAAAGGATAAAGTGATGAAAGCAATCAAAGGCACGTTTGCATGATAAACTCAGAATATGTATACACACACACACACACACACACACACAAACACATGCTACATTGCAGGTAATAAATTTTCAATAATTATATTGCTTTTATACTAGTACCTTTCTTAATTAAAATTATCCTTAGCATTTGACATGTGTGGTTTTTCCTATTAAATTAATAGTAATCCTGTTTTTCTCCCTCTTATAATGAAAATAATTGGCTGAATATAATATAAAAATCTAAAATCATAAATATAATTATGGCCAAAGGCACCTAGCATCAAATGATCACACAAATAATAAAATAAACCTTTGTAAAAATATCTCATTTAAGATCATAATACTTCAGAAAAGAATACCATACCTCAAACTGTGTGACAGCAGCATAGCGTACCTCTCCAGAAGGGGTAGTATATTTACTTCTATAGAAACCTTTCATTTTGTCATTCAGTTCTCCAACAAAATCTATCTTTAAGGTTCCTGTACCTGTGATTGAAGATAAATGAAAACCACTTTTAGGGAAATGTTAAGTACAAGTTATCAAAAATATATCCGTAAGACAATAATTCGACAGGCTATTTACAATATTTAAATCAATCCTTCCTTTCTCACATACCCCTCCTGGCGATGGAGAGAATATAGTATTTACTAAAGTTACATGGCAGACTAATCCTAAAGTAAACTTAAAGTCATGTATAGGGTGGGTAACTGCTTAGAAAGTTCTTCAACTGTATTATTAATCTCAAATGACCATTAAAAAAACAGAAAAAGAAATGAACATTTATTATTAAATGTATAACATGCTATTGTGTTTTAAAAGTATTTACAAACTTGCAAATACCGTGTTTCCCCGAAAATAAGACATCCTCCGAAAATAAGACCTACTTACAGGTTTCCTTCTGAGTTAAATATAAGGCATCTCCCCGAAAATAAGGCCCCCCCTAGGCTCTGTCTCAGAATGTTATTGCTAAACATGAGAGATTTGGTTCACTGATTCTGAAAGAAATGGAGTCACAGGAAATTCAGGAATTGAATTGTTATGATGATGTTCCAGAAGATGATGACATGATTGTCATTGAATAAATGAGTAAATTCTTGATACTGTAGGATTCACAGTTTGTCTGGTTTGTGTTGACAACTACCGTACTACCGTACCATATACAGGTAATAAATTTCCTTTATTTTCATTTAACAATAAATGTGTACCGTATTCTTCTTCATGGAAAAATAAGACATCCCCTGAAAATAAGACCTCGCGTATCTTTGGGAGCAAAAATTAATATAAGACACTGTCTTATTTTCGGAGAAACAGGGTAAATATTGTCTCAGATGAGGAAACAGGCAGCAAAGTTAAATAACTTGTCCAAGATCATACAATTAGTTAAGTAGCAAAAATGAGATAAAATCTTAAACCTGTTTAATTTAAAATTCATGCTTCCTGCCCATTTTACCATGTAAATTGGTCCTTTTAGATGAATTCATGTCAATACCTTTATCATTAAGAAAAGACACTATCTGCTCATTCTACATGGAACAGTGAGTCCACACTTTTTAGGAGCCACAAGGAATACCAATGATTTGATCATCCAAAGGGTATAAAACAATTCTTAGAGCCACCTCAATCATTTGCAATCTGATATGAAAGAAATACATTTAATCAATAATTATTAAATACAAATAAAAATGAATATTTAACCTGAATATATATTCTATTAGAGGCCTGGTGCACAGACTCATGCATGGGTGGGATCCCTCAGCCTGCTTAGCAAGCAGGGCCAATTAAAGCCTTCTCGAGGCAGATTGGGGCCAGCAGGCTGGGGGAAGGGATATAGGAGGTTGGCTGTGGGAGTGCATTGACCATCAGGGGGCAGTTCTTACATTGAGCTCTGCCCCCTGGTGGTCGGTGCACATCATGGCGACTGGTCAACCAGTCATAATAGTAGCTTAGGCTTTTAAATATATAGACTAGAGGCCCAGTGCACAAAATTCATGCACGGGGGGGGGGGGGGTCCCTAGGCCTGACCGAGATCAAGACCCCTCAGGTTCCCCAACTCCCCACCTCCTCCTTCCCCTGCAGCCCACATCCACTGCCACCCACCCCCTGGTTCTCAGTCCCAGCCCTGGGGGCCAACCGCCACCACAAGGGGAGGTGGGGAGGGGGGAGGAGCCAACAGGAGCCAACTGCAACCGTGACAGCTGATTGAGGTCTGCTGGCTGTGAGGTTTGTCAACAGTCCAAGGAGGGAGCTGGCCATTGGCCCCACTGAGAAAGGGGCCACATGTGCCGCCACTCACCCCCGGTTCTCCATCCCAGCCCAGGGGCCTGGCCCCAATCAGGCGATCAGAGCCTGACAACCAGGAAGAGGAACCAGGAACTTGGCCAATAGGCCCCTCAGCAATCAGGGCCTGTGGGCTGGGAAAACTCCTGAGTTGAGCATCTGTCCCCTGGTGGTTAGTGTGCTTTTATATATATATATAGATAGATTATTGTACAGATACAAAACCAACTCAGATAAAATGGGATTTTTTTTGGTGAGTATATATACTTTTTTCATAAAAGAAATTATCTAGTAGCCATCTACTAAACTCATATGCACAACAAAATAATAGTAATTCCATTCTACATTTTACAAATCAAGTCACAAAAAGAAACAGAAAAATGTTGACTTTAAAAATGATCCTTTTAGCCGAGACCGGTTTGGCTCAATGGAAAGAGCGTCGGCTTGGGGACTGAAGGGACCCGGGTTCGATTCCGGTCAAGGGCATGTACCTTAGTTGCGGGCATATCCCCAGTAGGGGGTGTGCAAGAGGCAGCTGATCGATGACTCTCATCGATGTATCTAACTCTCTATTTCTCTCACTTCCTCTCTGTACAAAATCAATAAAATATATTAAAAAAAAAAATGATCCTTTTAAAGTACCTATGCATACATATTATAGGATCTAGAGTATGGAAGTATAATGAATCAAGATATAGTAGAACTATAAATTAATCATACCCAAACTTTTGTATCATAAAGTTTTAAACTGTCATTTTAGAATGCCATGAAACAATGACACTGACAATGTTCAAAATGCTCTTGTATTTCTCCCTCTACCTTTCAAACATATCTCTTGGATGTTTAAAAACTCAAATCTTCATCTTCCAAAATTGAATTTGCTTTTCAGAAAGATCCAAAAGTTATAAAGAGTCCAAGTTTACGAATAAGTGAATGATGAGTTGTAAACCATTTCTAAACAAAACACTAAGTGTATTTATTAACTACTTAAACTGATGATTTTCTTATGTGCTACAAACTGGTTCTGAAAGTAATTTCAAGTGAAAATTTCAGACTTTTGTATCAAATTCATCACTAAAGCAAGTCCCACATTCTTAAAGTAATCATATTGGGAAAACAGAACAACTGAATTGAAGTTCAATTGAATAGACATTTGTGATTTTTTAAAAATATATATTTTTTATTGATTTTAGAGAGAAAGGGAGAGGGAACGAGAGATAGAAACATCAATGATGAGAGAGAATCATTGATTGGCGGCCTCCTGCATGGTCCCTACCGGGGATCAAGCCCACAACCCGGGCATGTGCTCTTGACCAGAATTGAACCCAGGACCTTTCAGTCCCGCAGGTCGACATTCTATCCACTGAGCCAAACCCGCTAGGGCTGTGATTATTTTTTTTAAATGAGACATTCTGGTCTGGCCAGCAAGGTGCAGAGATTGAGTGTCAACCTATGCACCAGGAAGTCACGGTTCAATTCCCAGACAGGGCACATGCCCGAGGATGCGGGCTCAATCCCCAGTGTGTGGTGTGCAGGAGGTAGGTGATCAATGATTCTCTCTCATCATTAATGTATCCCTCTCTCTCTCTTCCTCTCCTTTTCTCTCTGAAATCAATATAAAAGTATATATTTTTTGAAATCAGACATTCTGTCTTAAGGGACAATGAATAGTTTTTTTATTTTAAAGAGAACGATAGATTACAAGGACAGTAAATGTAAATATAGTAAAAGAATCTGAAAGAGTTCTAAATTACTGATAATTTAAATTTTTAACTACAAAATTTCTCTTTTCTTTAGGAATTCACTGACTTTTTAAAAAAGCAGATATATCAACATTAATAAAGTTTACAAGGAATATCTAATAGATTACCAAAACCCATTCCCTTCTATGTTACAATTCCATTAATAGAATTGGTAAGTCTGCTTTCACTAAGTTAACTGTTAAGGTGTCTTTTATATAACTCAGATTCCATGGTAAATCTACTTTCAACTTTTCCTATTTGGAATAAAATTCGAAACTAAATAAGAAAGGCTGCTTACACTTTTACTTGGTATTAAATCGCCAAGGCCATCAAACCATAACAAGATACTGACAGTGACCACTGCCAAAAGTGGCATACTAAACAAAATACAAAGTATTAGGAAGGGTTATTACCTGAAATTCAAACAAAACACAAGTTAAAAATGTTTTTAATTATTAATAAATTTAATTAGTGTCACATTGTACAATATTAATTACAAAGTATTTATTATTAATGTAGTAGAATGTTAGGCCAAGAAAGAAAAGTAGAAAAAAGAACTTCTAAAAAATTAATTTCACATCAAATTTATACCATATTGAAGAACTGATTGCCAGGGTGACTAATTTTATACATATTTGCACATATAAATTACAATGCTTCCTCAAAGTATATATAATATTTTTATCTGCTTGGGGTGGCAACCCTTTTAAAACATACAATGAGCCGAAACCAGTTTGGAGCGTCAGCCTGCGGACAGAACGGTCCCGGGTTGGAGGTCAAGGGCACGTACCTTGGTTGTGGACACATCGCCAGTGCAAGAGGCAGCTGATCGATGACTCTCATCGATGTTTCTAACTATCTCTCTCCCTTCCTCTCTGTAAAAAAATCAATAAAATATTCTTCCATAAACCATCTGACTCCTTCTTTAAAGATGATGGTTAATGGAAGAATCTGACAATTAAAATTTAAAAATAATAAAAAAAATAAAATAAAACATACAATGAGCTCATTTATAAATTAAACAACTGAAAAATTGAGACTTGCACTAAAAAACTTTAATTGTTTAGTATTTAGGTGAGTATAATAATTATTATAAAAACTGAAGTAGATCTTGAAATACTTTAATACAAATTTAATGAGCCTACTAAATACAATAAAATCAAAGACAGATTATAGAAAAAGAGAGTCAAGGTCTTTGCCTCTGTGTGAATGTTAATATCTTCTAGTGTTTCTCCAAATAAATGCCACTCTACAGGATTCTTAACCACTGATTCTGAGGTTATTAAGTCTTACAAAGATTATGGTAACTTAACACTATTCTAGAATGGTGCCCATTTCAGAAAAGATATTTTACTTAGAGAGAGAGGATGGAAGAGTGAGAGAGAGAAACATCAACGTGAGAGCAGAATATCAATGAGCTGCCTCCTGCATGCCCCTTACCTGGGATCAAGTCCACAATCCAAGCATGTGCCCTGACCAGAAATCGAACTGGCAACCTTGTGGTGCATGGGAAGATGCTCAACCAACTAAGCCATGCTGGCCAAGGCTATTTTAACCTCTTTAAATGCTACGTATGGAATTCTAGGTTGAAATTTAGAATCTCATAACTTTGAAGGAATGGCTTCATTAGAGTCTAGTTTCCATTTTTTTTTTAAATATGATTTTTATTGATTTGATCGGGGAGGGAGGTGAGGGAAAGGGAATAAGGGAAAAGAGAGAAGGGAGACAGAGAGGGAGAGGGGAAGAGAAAAACTGATGAGAGAGAACGATCAACTGGCTGGCTCCTGCATGCCCCCTGGGACCAAGTCCACAATATGGGCATGTTCCCTGATCAGGAATACAATGGCAACCTCTCAGGTCCATGGGATGACACTCAACTAAGCCACATTGGCCAGGGCTAGTTTCCATTGGTGATGGTAAATCAACTGCTATTCTGATCCCTGAACTTTGAGGAGGAATTTCAATTTTTAAGTTATATTCTTAGGTATCTGTTAATGATCATAGCAAAACACTTATATTTATAATAATTTCATACAAAAAAATCCTAGTTAGAAAAGGGCAAAATGAAAGGTCGTTAAGAGCCCTGAATAAAAGATAACTTGCCCAATTAAATTTTTTCTAAAAACACTTTTAGTCCTAGCTGGTTTGGCTCAGTGAATAGAGCATTGGCCTGTGGACTAAAGGGTCCCCGATTCAATTCCGGCCAAGGGCACATGCAGGGGTTGCGGGCTCAATCCCCAGTAGGGAGCATGCGGGAGGGAGCCGGTCTATGATTTTAATCACTGATGTTTCCATCTCTCCCTCTCCCTTCCTCTTTGAAATCAATAAAAATATATTTTTAAAAATACTTTTATATTAAGGCAATGTATTCTCAGTGTAAAAATTATACAAACCAGAGAGAAAAGTGTTAATCAGAATAAAAATCATCAATTACTTCAACAACCAGACATATAATTTTATTTTTATCATTTCAGAGTTATGATTCATCACCCTGGATATGTAATTTTGTATTCTGCTTTTTAATTTCACATTATAATAAGCACTTTACAGTGTTAAGAATTCACAAACCTCACTTTTAATTGCTACTATAGTATATATATTTCACCAGATAGAAACGTCCTACTATGTCATAGCTTGATTATTTCCTTAATGTTGGACAAACACATTAATTCCAACTTTTTACTACCTTAAGTAATGTCTCTGTAGATATCCTTGGAATAAAGCCTTTTCCAAATTTATAATTTTTCTTTAGGATATATTTCTATTACCAGAATTGCTGGGTCAAAGGACATAAACATGTTTAGTCTCTTGAATCATACTGCCAAACTGCTTCTAAATAAATTACATGGATTTACACTCCCACCAAAAATATCAAGTCAGTCATATTATGGAGAATATTTTTAAAATTTCTCTTACAGAACAGACAAAAACTGGCATATCAGTAACTGTTGTTTTGATATTTCTCATGACTAGGAAGCTGAATATTAGTATATTTTCACATTTAAAAAATATATTTTTTTATTAAGTTCAGAGAAGAGAGGAGAGGGAGACATAGAAACATTAATGATGAGAGAGAATTACTGACTGGGTAGCAGGGAGCAAACCTGCAACCCACGTAGGTGCCCTTGACAGGGAATGGAACCTGTGACCCTCTGGTTCTCAGGCCAATATTTTAACCATTTAACTTCACTGGTCAGGGCTAATCAAAGTCTTAGTGCTTTACCAACAAATTTGTATATAATTTTCCCCACTATTTTAAGTTTGGAAAGTCTTCTATTTTCTTTGTGGTTTTATACCTAATAGTAACATATTAACAAATCTTGCCTTTCATGTCCTCACTAACATTTTATCTATCTAGTCTCCAGTTGTACATCAAAATTATCTATGGGATATTCATATCAGAGATTTGGAATCACAATTAGTTAAAGATGGAGCTAGGTAAATGTATTTTTTAAAAACTGAAACTGAAAAGGTGAAAAACAATGTTCTAGGGTAAAATGAGCATTAATTTTGAGTGTCTCTCTCTCTCTCTCTCTCTCTCTCTCTCTCTCTCTCTCTCTCTCTCTCTCTCTCTCTCTCTCATGTTCCCCCTGGTGGTCCAAAAGCTGCAATATACCTGACTTTAATCTGCTAAAAACATGAGTGGAGAAAATGGCATGCAATGAATTTCTTTGGAAGAAGTATGATGCCACTATTCTTCATCGGACTTTACAAAAGACACATCTCTTACCTGGTTGGAGAGTACTAGGAAAAGACAAGGTGACTTTTTCATCTTCATTCTGATAGTTAAATCCTGTAGCATGTATTTCTGGAATGGAAAAAAAAAAAAAAAAGGTTACAATAAATCTGACTGAACTAATAAGGTTAAAACAGAATGCAGCAATTAACATTTTCAAGAGCAAAATCTCTACTAAAATTAAATTCTTAACTTAATTAAGTTCCTACTAAGAAGAGTGTCATTTCAAACTAACCTCTTAAGGATATTTGACCTTCATTAAATATATTCCTTAAAAATAATCCTTATACATCCTACATTCATTCACAACACTTTATAAGGGAAATGGGGTTACTATAAATGTGAAAAGGTTTTCTACCAGATTCTCAGACCTGCTTCATTCTTGCCTTTGAGTGGCAATATTGCTTTTTATGTTTCAGTCTTACTCATGATCATTTGAAGATTGAGAAAATTGATGAGCTTTCAGTGTTAGAGATACCAATGAAAGTTCTGTTTCCCACCCAAAGATAGGTAACAATTCCAAATAAGACATAAATTATATTAACTTCCAGCAAAATTCTTTGTAGTTACATTTTACGGAAATAAAGAAGGTGTGTGGGTTAAATTAAGGCTTTGATTTGCTTTCTGCCAGGAGTGAGAAGAGACTGCTTATTTGACAGACTTTAGAAAACTTAATTGACACTTTCAGGAAAGAGCTAAGCAGATCAGCTTCCAATCATAGTACATCCCCATCCCAAATGAAAAGTCAGCCCGTCGAAGAGGTAGCCTTAATAAGCACATAAAAATATGCTTAACATCATTAAGTCAAAACCACAGAGAGATACTATTTCACAACCATTAGTATGACTATAATAATAACAAAAAATATAATAGTAAGTGTAAGGGAAGATGCAGAAAAATGGGAACCGGTCAGGGCAAGAATAGCAGTTTTAAAATTGAAACAATAAAACATTGTATTGCTAGATTCCCATTAACGAACACATCAACTACATTATAATACATGTGTATTTAAAAAAAAGTAAAATTTCCTCCAAAAATTTTTCTTATAAAAAAGAGAGTAGCCATGTATTTGAATTTCTTAAAAGTCTCATGTATTATGGGATACTCAACCAATTACTTTACACTGGAAAACGTACTACTTTGCAAATATACATTAGAGTTTGAAATAATCTTGGTCAACACAGTTTTGGATATTCTGTAAATATCCACCATTCATCCAGTAGCTCAAGGCAAAAATATGGAACCATCCTAACTGCCTCCCTCAATATGTGTCTGTCTGTCTCTCATACCATCATCCAATATGTGGATTTAATAGCCTATACCTTTAATCCCAGACTATTTAATGCCTCCACCACTACAGCCCCAGTCCAATAAACCATTATTTCCCTCCTAGACCACTACACAATATCCTTCTGTTTCTATTCTTGCCGCCTTATAATCTATTCTTCTTCACACATCAGCCAGGGTAATGAGAGATCAAAGCCTCTAATAGAGTCCCATAATATTCAGCATGAAAGGCTCAGTCTATTTGAGTTTGACAATTATTTGTTTGTTAGAGAGGACAAAAAAAAGCACTAACCACAAAAGAAAAAAAGTGATAGATCTGATTTAATATTTAAAACTTGTGATTATTAGAATACACTGTTAAGAAAATGAATAGGCAATGCCAAAACAGGTTTGGCTCAGTGAATAGAGCGTCAGCCTGCAGACTGAAGGGTTCCGGGTTTAATTCCGGTCAAGGGCATGTACCTTGGTTGCGGGCACATCCCCAGTAGGGGGTGTGTGGGAGACAATGTTCTATTTTTCTCTCTCATCAATGTTTCTAACTCTCTACTCTCTCCCTTCTTCTCTGTAAAAACTCAATATTTTCAAAACAGAAAATGAATAGGCAAATCATGTGCATATTTTTTTTGTCATCTAAATGACAAAGAACTTGTATCCAGAGATACATAAACACTTCTACAACTCAATGATAAAAAGATAGCAACTAAATTAAAAGATAGGCAGAAACCTGAACAATTTCCTAATGGAAGATATATGAATTTTGCCAAATTTCATTGGGGGAATAGTTTTGACACAATTTATAAGTATACCACTCTCACTGGTGCACAAAAGATGTCCTATGTACTGTTTATAATTGATAAAAAAGTGAGGGATAACCAAGATGTGTAATATTAAGAAATGACTTTGTAAAATGGTACATCTATACAAAGGATAACTAGGCCTTTATGAGACATGTCTACATATACTTCCTTAACTAGATTAAGTTAAAAAAGCAAGATGAAAATATTATAATATATATTACAATCTCAGTTCTGTAATTAAAGAAAAAAATTGCATGTATAAAAGAATTCATATCAAATTATTAACATGGATACTTCTAGAAGTGGAGGAGCAGGTGATATAATGAAAAAAGAAAGAAGAGCCGAGACGGGTTTGGCTCAATGGATAGAGTGTCGGCTTGGGGACTGAAGGGACCGGGTTCAATTCCGGTCAAGGGCATGTACCTTGGTTGCGGGCATATCCCCATTAGAGGGTGCGCAAGAGACAGCTGATTGATGACTCTCTCTCATCGATGTTTCTAGCTTTCTATCTCTCTCCCTTCCTCTCTGTACAAAATCAATAAAATATATTTTTAAAAAAAAAGAAAAAAGAAAGAAGAGGACTTTTACATCTTATATTCTATACTTGACTTTATTACAAGTATTTCTTTTATAATTATAAAATATAAGCAAAAGAATATATTAAAAAGCATTTAATGATATAAACAATAATTGTTTTATAACTGTTCACATTTTAGAAGTTATTCTTATGCAATGTTTACAAAAGTATTTTACACTTTAATAACAATCTTTAGATCATCTTAATATTTGCGAACTATAATTTGTATATGGATTAGGGCCAATAACCTTTGAACCTACAAATAGCTGAAAGAACTATCACATGCTATAGTTCTCATAATGAAATATGTTTCACATTTTAAAATGATGCATCTAGACTTTCGCTTTGGCTGTGACAGCTTAGCTGGTGTCAGAAAAACTATAAAAACTGGGTCAAAATGTTTTTAGTGTTTGGGAATCACACAAAAATTCACTCTATATTCACAGGTTCTTTATTCATTTGTTATATTTATTGACTTCTAAGTAGAACATAGAGACCAATAAAGAAAGAAGAGTCATAAAGTTTGCAGCAGTCTCACTGGGCTGAGGAGAGAAAAATTGGATTTAAGGACTACCAAAGCAGCCAGGATTCAAGGCCAAGATTTCAGAAAAGTGGAATAACAGATGAAGTTTAACATGCTTCATTCAATTTTCCCTCAAGATATCTGCTGACTACTAGATTTAAGTAGTTTTGTAATGGTATGGAAGTAAAAAATAGATTTCAGGCCTAAAAAGTAAGGGAAAACCTTAGTAAAGATTCCTGACAGGGCTATAAACTATCAATAAGTACAAATTGACAGGAAAAAAACAAACTTAACTTGGATCAAAATGATCTCACTTAGTGAAAACATTGAAAGCTTTTCTTTCCCCTATGATCCAGAACAAGACGAGAATGCCTGTTTTTGTCACTTTTATTCAATATAGTACTAGAGGTTCTAGCCAGACTAAACAAGAAAAGGAAATAAAAGACATCCAAACTAAAAAAGAAAAAATAATTATCTCTGTTCATAGACAAAATAATCTTATATGTAGGAAACTCTAAAAGTTCCACAAAATAAAAACAAAACAATAAAAAACCAAATAACTATAAGAATAAACAAATTCAGCAAAGTTATAGAATACAAAACCATCATTTAAAAAAATCAGCTGTATTTCTATACATTAATGATGAACAATCTCAAAAGAATTTAACAAAACCATTCCAATAGCATAAAGAATATATAATTCTTAAGAAAAAATTTAATCAAGGAAGTGAAAGACCTACACACTGAAAATTACAAAACACTGCTGAGAGAAATTAAAGAATATACAAATTGCCCTGGCCTGGTGGCTCCATTGTTTGGAGCATTGCATCATACACCAAAAGGTTGTAGGTTTGATTCCCAGTCAGGGCATGTACAGGAGGCAACATACCGATGTCTTTCTCTTTCTCTTTCTCTTTCTCTGTGTTCTCTCTCTCTCTCTCTCTCTCTCTCTCTCTCTCTCTCTCTCTCTCTCTCTCTCTCTCTTCCCCCCTCCATCTCTCTCTCTCTTTCTCCAACCCCCCTCTAAAAATCGATAAAAACATATCCTTGGTGAGGATTAAAAAAACAACAACAAATAAATGGAAAGACATATTCCATCCATGGATTTAGAAGACTTAATATTGTGAAGATGTACATTATATCCAAAGTGATCTATGGATTCAATGCAGTCCCTCTCAGAAGCCCGACAGTATTTTTTGTAGAAATTTAAAAATCCATCCAAAAATTCATGGAATCTCAAAGGACTCCAAAGAGCCAAAACAATCTAGAAAAAAGAACAAAGTTGAAGTATCATATTACACAGCTATAGTAAGAAGAGAGAGAGTATAGTACTAGCATAAAGACAGATATAAAGGATTGGAGTAGAACAAAGCGCCCCAAAATGAACTCTTCCATATATGGTCAAGTGATTCTCAATGAGGGTGCTAAGACCATTCAATGGAGGAAAAACAGTGTTGGGAAAACTGAATATACACATGCAAAAAAAAAAAAAAAAATGAAGTTAGACCTTTTATATCATATAGAAATTTTAACTCAAAATGGATCAAAGGCCTACATGTCAAAGTTAAAATTATATAATTCCAGAAAAAACACACAAAACATAACCTTAAATTTTGCAATAACATCTTAAATAGGTCATACAAAAACATGAACTATAAAAGAAAATTAAGTAAATTGGAATTCATTGAAATTAAAAACTTATGCTCTTTAAAAAGTACTGCAATGAAAATGAAAAGGCAAGCCGGAACCGGTTTGGCTCAATGGATAGAGCATCGGCTTGGGGACTGAAGGGTCCCGGGTTCGATTCCGGTCAAGGGCACGTACCTTGGTTGCGGGTATATCCCCAGTAGGGGGTGTGCAAGAGGCAGCTGATTGATGACTCTCTCTC